GAGCGCGTGGGCCGCGTCGTACCAGCGGGAGCGCCTTGGGAGGCGCGCTCTGCGCCTGGGCCTCCAGCTGCCGCATCACGGCCTCCTCGTCCAGCCCCGGGGGCGGCGGCGCCAGCTCGGGCAGCGCCGGCGCGGCGGAGGCGCCGGCGTCGCTCGCCATCTCGCGTTTGTTCCGGCGCGGCGCCCGCGCTCGCTTCCCACGGCGCTCTGCCGGCCATGGAACAAGCGCGGACTTACTCGTGTTATTGGCTCTCGTTATACTTCGGTTTTCATATCGGGAACCATCAATCAGCATCAATGTTTTGTTGTTGATCTCGCATCCTTACTTTACTGCGGGTTTTCATAAGGTGGCGCCTCAGGACCAGTCTTCTCGGTGGAATATCTCACGGCATTTCGCGTCTATTTCCCCCTGCCGCTAGACACATCGCACTCCTTGATGCGGTCGCGGACGTGCTACATCTACCAGCACCACTGCGAAAGACGCCAAATGTGATATATTCCATCGTGAAGACAGTCCTTGACGCGGGGAAGTTATAAAAAAACGAAGTATATTAGGGATGCGAGATCGACAACAAAACACTGATGCTGATTGATTGATGTTTCCAGAAGCGTCAACATCTAAGGTCATTAGTCCCATAAATGTAGTGTATGTTTTGCTTGGGAAATGGTGGTGAACTTTCTCGCCTAAGGGTGAGTTCCGACGCCAACCTTCACGTTGGCTAGCGAGCTTTTCCCTACCAGGTATCTCCCAACACCGGGACACCTCCCGCCCGGAACACGCTCTAAGTTCTCGATGTGTGGTAGTGTACTGCATGTAAGTGTAATGGTGAGTAAGCAAGGGGAGAGGAAGCGGCTGGGAAGGGGAAGTAAAGTCCGTGACCCGTCTGTAAGGGCCACGGACTTACTTTGACATTCGCCCGCTGCTGACCGAGGAAGCCTCGGAAAACTACCGATCGGAGCTGCTGTCCGCTAGAATTCTCCTTAGGGCAGCGTCTGAATTCCTTCTAATTGTATAGTTTGTGTCGAAAGTCTCTCCATCGAAGCTCAATATTAGGACCTTCCAAACAGAGACACTGTCACGGCAATCATTTTTGGCTTGAGCGACCTCATTCAGTTCGATTGCCCACGTTTAATTTATATTTTATTACTTATTTTTCTCGTCCAGATTTTTTTAAAAATTGTTCTTCTCTTAACATAATAATCTTAACCTTTGTAATAGGGTCGTAAGAAGTTTTACGTCAAAAGCCTTTCAGTGAGCATGTGTTAGCCTATTGACTGACAGACTTACATGCCAAACACCTCAGTTCCGCAACCGAACGGCTAGATACCACAAGATTGAATATCATCTGTTAGGCGGGATTGGAACACATAACCCTAGCAAAGAACATTTGTCGTCGCTGCCGCCCGCAGTATTACGTTTGGCAAAACATGTAAAGTAACTGCTGATAAAGACTGGATTTTTTTCATTTAAGGTCGCATCAAATTCTAGGTCCTTAGCGACCACTATTGCATTTAACGGTATGGGAACTGTGAAGATGGTATGACATGGTGAGGATAGGGGGTGTGTGAAAGGACGAACACAATACAACCATGCCCGAGGTAGGACTCGAACCCGCGATCCTTCGGTTTAACATCGCTACGGCACTAATACTACGGCGATTTCGACCATCCGGAAAACACTATCACTACGACGATCTCGACCATCCGGTCCGGCACTGGATTGTTTTCATTCTTAGGCTTCAGAGACTCTCTTAAGGAGTTGCAGCAATCTGCCTTGCAGAAGTGCATCGCGGGTTGCGTTCTTTTGGGCCTTGATGGTAACCTCAACGTTTTTATTTCAAACTTCAGTTTTTATTTTCGAGTAAAATCATACGTATGGATTCCTTTTTTTTTCAAAAGACATAATATTATATTATGCAACCAGTTTATAATGTTAAGGTTTATTTGATGAGCACATGTTTTGAAAACGAGCAACGGTAGGAGGGAGTTTTCAAATTGTAGGAATGCAATAAAGCAACATAATAAACTGGTTGCACTTCGCACCTCCGATAGAAAAGTGACACAAGTGCGAATTTCTGATTTCTCAGATATTGCAATTTTAAGTTTCGTAGTTCTGTAATATCCGTTATAGATTGAACCAAATATTCACCTTCTAGCGGACTGTAATTGAACTAATTCAAAATCAACTTCAGAATAGTAGCAGTACCTCTTGATAACCTCTTATCAGTTTTTAGCTGAAAAATAACGATTTCGCACTTGTATCACTTTTCTATTGGAGGTGCAATATGTTTTTTGTATTATAGTATTAAACATTAATGAGAAACAAACGTAAATTTTGGAAACATCTTTACTGTGACGTTAATTGACTCAATGGTCCATTGTTTGGTTTACCGCTACCTCCCCACGTTTCTCTATCTGCGATTGCCTCAGCTCAGCTTGTGATGACGCAATTATTCGTGCCATAAACGGCAAGTACGTCAAAGTCTGTGCCGTAAGAAATCATTCTTTGAACGATTTCCTCTAACGGATAAGGTCATTTATAATACTGGATTAAAAAATTATATAAATTTATTTATTTTATTAAGAATACGTTTTCATTTTCAACTGTTGTCTAATCTTTACATATTTTTAATTCTTTTTTATGTCTGATAATTTTTTTATTTGTTGCTGTAGTCACTGAGATCCGATTTACACGCTGCCTGCGCATGCGCATAACAGATTCTGAGGCATGGAGCTGTTTCGTGCGAGCTCACGTACGCTAAAAATCCCAAAGCATTCGCCGAAAAGGGAGTTGAAGAATTGTGAAACATTCACGAAATTACGACTGTGTGTGTTGTTTTATTATTTAATACTTTGTAATATAACACTTTATATACCTTAATTTGTTTTTGATAATATTATCTCTGTTACATGAGGATTCAATACTTTAGGACAAGAAGAGTGTTGTGTGTACAACATCCAGCAACGTTGTAGGTCGGGTTGTTGAAGAAAGTCTATATGAAATTTAATTAATAAAAAATATACACGTTAAGGACGGCTATTCTGAAAAGTTTCACCATTTGGTGATGAGTTTCGTAGTTTTAAATAATATAAAATTGTATTATGTAAATACAATCTGAAGTGACTTAATAACTTACCTTCATCAGCCATTTCACCTTCACGTTTATCCATATTCCTGGAAAGAAAAGAACATTCAGAATATGTCTTAATTATAATCTCCCCCAAATGAATCATTACAGACATTACAAGTGCTTTAATTATATAGGAAAATATTTTAAGCTACATTGTCTTATTTATGATACAAAAATGTGTGTTGTTCTCTGGATCAGAAAATAGGTCAATTAGTAAACGTCAAATTTGTAGGTCGTAATATCTAAGTACGTTCTACTGCATTGATTTCATAATGCTATATAACAATTTAAGAAATTAATCAACTTCAGATTGTTTCAATCTGTGAATATTTTAGTTTTCGTTTCAGGTTCGCGAGAAGGAGTATTTGCTATTTTCAATAATTATAATGGTCGGTAACGAACTCAAGATGCCTGTAGGGTTCCTCACCCAGAAGTTGACACATATGCCATCAATTAGTATTTGCTCATTTTCTACTCAAACAAAAGTTATTAAATGTATCTATTGTCATCGTTATAAATGTTAAATATAAGTCAACAAATAAAAATACTTTTGAATTTTGCACAAGTGAAATATTCTTTACATGAAAACATCAAGACTGCTAGACTCCATTACCTACAGCAAAAATTTCCTGCTTGTGATGCAACAGTTATCAAAACCAAAGAGAAGGAGTAAAACCAAAATATCAACTTACCTCATTAAGATTGCAATTTTGGATGCTGCACTTTGGTGGAACTTCTCCATGAAATGCATTGTGTCATCTACAAGAAAAAATATTTTCAAATCAGACAATAAAATGGTAAATACATTTTAAAATATCACTCCTAAAAGTACCCTGAACATTTTACAACACAGGATGGCATGTATGTTTTGTCGTAAGCTATTGTGGGGGAATCTGCTGAATATTCAGCCAGCTCACCATTAATTAATCGAAAGTTTGAAGAGTAAAAACATTAATTTTTGTGTAGTTAATTAGCAATTAAATAGTTATATATGGTGGCATTTGTCTTTTTATGGTAACCGAATGTTGTAGAGTAAGCGGAAGAGAGGTGCCGGAAATTATCATATTAACGAACATAATGCCCAAGAGTTGTTCCAAATGTTGCAACATTTTAAAGATCTGTGTGCAGTATCCTGCTCGTTCTGTGAAATGAATTAGTGTGTTATGCAACTAGTTTATAGCGTTAAGCTTTGTTGCATGAGAACATGTCTTGAAAACGAGCGACATTAGAATCGAGGTACATTGAAGCATCATTATAAACAAGTTGTATTTGCTATCTTTGTACAACAGCGTTATAGATATTTATAAGAGAATCAAAATTAATTAATGGAAACGTCTGTGTGACGTCACGAGAATTCGATATCTGTAGAGGAAAAACGTTGATCGGCTCTTCAGTTTTCCGCTGCCCACTCTCTCCCGTTGTGATTGGCTGAATTTGTAATGACGAAGTTATTCGAGCCATACGAGTAAACGGAGTTTACCACATCAAACTAAACACGTTCAAGATAATCTATTTTCACAGCATTATTCTCGCCCACATTATTTTAGTAGTACAGATGAATTTTGTGGCTCTCACACGCAAACAATCTTTATAAGTGAGGTCTCTAAAGAAAGATAATGCAATGTAGACGAGAATAATTGCAACTTGGCATTAAATATGTGAAGAATTTGTTGAAAAAACGCATTTAAGTATTGCAAATGCAACCGGCCACACTCGAGCTGCATTATGCAAATCTATATCTAATACACAAAAACACAAGTGTATTGGCTTACAGTGATATAATCTCTGAATCTATCGAACCATAAACGATGAAACTTTGGTGCTTAGCTTATTTTAAAGGTCTGGAATACTATACGCTATGATTCACAATCATAAACCTTGATGTATTTACAAAATAATAACTTTTCTGAACATTTTCCGCCTAATATTGCATCACAGATTTAAGACTATCGATGTTCAATAATTTAGTTGAACGTCATCACAGGATAACAGCTGAGAATTCCAAATTTCATGAATGTCCAGAATTAGTTGTACATTGAAAAAAGGTTATGTAATGTCCGAGTGTGAACGCTGGTAATTTGTTGGTTGTGAACATTGGTGGGTCATTTGAAAGAAAGCCGTAACCAAAGTAGTAAATAATTTCAAGGTAGTACATGTATTGTTCTTAGTCCATGTTTTGTATCAAGAGTGGCATGAAAACATTGTGGGTTTGAAATGTTTAAAATAAGTTGAGTGGAGAGAGTAAAAAGTACAACAATAATGTATAGTTCAGAATATACAATTTTCAATGTATAATACTTAAATATCGTATATTGGGGTGGTATATTTTCTAAACAACTTATTCTTTTATAGAAATTTGTGAACACTGAAAGGTTTGAAACAATGGTGAAACGAAAATCACTGTTGGCAAAACAGACTACAAGTACTAAGAGATGGGTAGTCTTTAAAATTCTGAATTGGCTGCTGAGAGGCAAGAGCGTCTTGCTCAAGAAAGTACTACCGCCATTGAAAATTATACTTCAAAGAGAGAGAAAAAAAGAATAATTCTTTTTAGCAGAGCAGCTTCTCATTTTGACCATCAATTTGTTTCTTTACGCAGTTCCATGTTCACATTGATAAGGTGAAAAATGTTTGTATGTTTTGTGGGGTAAGAAAATGGGCATGTGATAATAATAGTGTTTGTTGTTTTAACGAGATACTAAAGTTAAAACCCTTAACATCCTTCTAAAATTTTGAAATGATTGCTACTTTTGAAACTCTGCTCCATTTGATTCAATTACCTTTTACAGATGACATATTTTGACTGTATAGTACGGTAATGATACCTGAAGATACGGCTAAATTGTGGCGCGAAACGTTATGCTTTTAGTGTATTTATAGTAAAGTATTTCGGTTTGGAATAATTGAGAATGTTGATTATCTTCAAATATCGTGAAGATATCACTTTCCTGCAATATATCATATAGCCTATCATCGATTGATTTTAATTAAAAAGCTTTAAATTTAACTCGCATCAAAAGTGAAAAGATAGTGTACTCGTATTCGGCAGTTGTGAAAATGACGTAAGATAAACAAATAGTAACTTAATCACTATTCCATACTCTAGTTGAACCAATATCGTCTCTAACTGGTTTGACCACACAAAATGGAAGACTTTTTTCACGTTCTTTTCACAGTTAGTTTCCAATAAAATCTAGAGAATTAAATGAAAATGGATAAGGTGAATTTGATAGTTGCAGGGAAAATAATTGTGAATTGCATAAACGATACAGTACTTTTAAAGTACAGGTTATTTCCCTTCACTGCCGAAAGCTATTTAGAAGATTTCATTACGTAAAAAAATAACATTTTTAGGATGTTCCTGATGTGCTGTCTCCATCTATTACTTCTTGTAGAACTACTGCTCAAGAGGCATCTGTGTCTTCAAAAGAAATGCAATGTGTAACAGTGAAATAAGAGTGATTTCTGGGAATTTTAAATTTACGGGAACATTTAAAAATTTGCAATTTTTATATAAATTCAACAAAATAATAATTATGCCGATTTATATTTCCTATTTGAGTATTATTCCTATGCGATTTCTTTTATCTTTACTTTAATAATTCAAATTCATAAAAATGTATTTGTTGTGTTGGTATATGAGCTGGCATAAAGTATTCAAAAGCAGGCATTAAGAATATGAAAGGCCTGCTAGGGTATTAAGTCTACCATTACGTCTTTAGTTTAGATACATAATCAAACATTAATGAACTAGTAAACCATAAACTATTTTTTTTAAAAAAGCTTCTTAACACAAGTGTGCTATACACGCTGACTTTTTTCTTAAAAAAAACGAGAAACCCTATAGTCACATCTATATGATTAATTGATTGGTGTTTTCGGGACTTCAATGGTTTTGGTCATTGGTCCCGAAAGTGTAGTGCGGGAGGTGGCTGTCACCGGGCTCTGCTGAATTACGAGATCCGACGACGACCAACTCATCGGCTTGCGAGTTTTTACCCAACCAGATTTCCCCCACCCGATCGGGACAAGCTCTATGCACTCGACAAGTGTGATAGTGTAGTGCATATGAGTGTGCACGTAAGTAAAGGATGAAGATAGGACAAGGAAGAGGAAAGAAAGATCGCACGCCGTCTATGGCCCGTCTGTTAGAGTACTGCTCTAGCATTCGCCTGGTGTTGATCGAAGAAACCACGAAAAACTATCGATCAGAACAGCCGGCCGCCAGAATTTTCCTCCAGACATCGGCTGAGTTCGATCCAGCAATCTAGTTAGTGTCGAAAACCCTGCCACCGTCGATACTCGAACACGGGCATACAGGTCAGAGGCATTGCAGTGCCATTAATTGGTGCCCTAAGCCACCTAAGCCAGAAAGAGAAAACTGGTGTGAAGGATGGGATCTAATTCTGATAAGGTTCATTCCAGACCCATTCATTTCAGTCGGAGGCCTTTAATGATAAATAGAATGCATATAATGCGAAGTGTAATTTTGTTTCTCTAAAACTGGAGACAATTCACTGATGATGTGATACTCACGGAGAAGCAAGATAACCTGCTCCCTGTAAACAATGCATGCACCGTGCATCAGCATTGAAGACAAATATAGCGATAACCGCAAGGGTTCGTTCTTCTTCTTTGCAGGGATTTTGATTGCATCCATTAGCTCCTCACTGGAAATAGGAAGAAAGACAAATTAGTATTCTTAGTAAAGTCGAGGGTAATGTAGGTGATATTCATTTAATGTAATTTGATTTAATATTGTGGGTGATTTCATCGGCTATTTACTTCTATACCAGGAAGAAAACTTAGTGTTTCAAGCCCTCATGTTTCATACCCTGATGATCACACTGGTTGTGAGGCATGTCTTTACTTTTCACTGTAACAGACGGTAGTAGAGTCATGTGGAGGAGAAATGATTGATTACTTTTATTCTGTATGCGATGATTGCTTTGGTAATTAGAGCCATCAGTGCAGTACATGTTATAGCCCGGGAGAAGGCGGTGTTGCTTCCTCAACAGAAAATAAGATTCGGCGCCGACCTACATCTAGGTTTCCAGCGGGTTTCCTTCGTCCAGCTCTACCCAGCACCCGTTCCCGCGGACAAATTGAATATCTTAGAATACTACCGTATGGCGGTTACTTAGAGACCGCCGAAAAGATAGTTGGCGTGGTCATAATCCCCGGCAATGAAACAGAATTTCTAATCATCTAGAGCAAAGTAGCAACACAAAATGAAGTTAGAGAATAATGTATGTATTGACTGATGAACTCTCAGAAAATTGGAGGCAAGGTTTGTCGTGTTAGGTAACTGACACAAGGTCTCGTGGGAGCAAATACAATTACAGAGCAAACAAATTTCTCTCTGATGTATATATTAAAACTGTAACAATTCCATGTCTAAAAGCACTTAATAAATTAAAATAAGTATTCATCTTATACTGGATAGTACAAACAATTCCTTTTAACGATCACAATAACCCGATGTCATCTACGAAAGACCACACGATCTATTCATTTTATTTATTTATTTATTTGACGTCAAACAGTTTAAACTGTATATGACGTTCTATAGTAAGAATTAATTTAGAAATTACATTTATATCCATAGCAAAACAGCCGGCCGCATATTGCTCAGTCAGGGAAGTGCTGGACTGAAAACTTGACGAAGATGGGATCATTGACCCAAGAAGGCTTGAAGTACAAAGACACTCACTTGCTTACAGTTCATTTACAATGTCATTACATCCAAATGTAAAATTAGTCCCTAAACAGTATATTACTTTTCTTTTGAATGTACGTAAGTAACCTATTATATAAGAAACAGTTGGTCAGCAGAAAATAATTTTACTTGAACTTAGTTTGTATCCGTAAATTATCATTTATCATGTTGGAGGTTAAATATGTACATAGTGTATCGAAATTTTTTGTAGTGAGCTGTTGATCTGTCCAACACTGGACTCATGATACTCGTGCGATGTCTTAGTATAAGTCAATCACCGATTTGCTGAAAAGAATATTCCCGCCATTAAAGTAAGTATGTTTAACAACCACCTGATTATATTACAAGAACAATGGTAATGTTAGCGAATACCTGATTTTCCCGCCGAACTGTGCATAGAACCTTATGTCCCCATTACCATATTCTAGCCACGTTTCAACAATGCAATTCGTAGCATGTCTTAGGAAGGAAGTTCGCTGAAATCTATTCAAAAATAATGACTTCCATTCGTATTTTGTTTTCCTTTTCTTTGTACCTCAAATTGTTTCCTATCAAAACCGTTCCCTGAAGCGATTAGAGGGACATCAAATCATCTTTACGACTTTGAATATATATACACGAAAAGAAAAGAAACGTTGGAGTTATACCAGATCCATCCGATACTGAACAAGGAAACTTGTTAAACAGCACATGTGAGATTACACCCAGATCCTACATGTAAAGAACTGTAAAAGAATGTGGAGTATTACCAGAACCATGATACTGTAACACGGAAAGTAAAAGAACTGTACTGGACGTTATACCAGATCCTATACATAGTAACAGGAAAACATTAAAATGATTGTTTGGGTATACAGAGCCATGATAAATAACAAGGAACTTGTTAAAAGAATTTGTTGAGGTACAAGACCTAGATACCGACAAGAAACTCTGTAAAACTTAGTTAGGGATATACAGAGCCATATACTGTAACAGGAAACCTGTAAAAGAGAGTTGGAGGACAACAAGATCCAATGATATATAACTAAGGAAAATTTACAAAAATGTGAGCCTATAACCGATCCATGATACCTATAACAAGAACACATGTAACGCAAGAATGTTGGACAGAATATACCCACCTATGCCCACTTAAGGAAACGGAAACCACTGGTTAAAAGAATTGTTGGCGATACACACATGCATACGCTATAAGCGAAACACCTTGTAAAGAACCTGTTGAAAGCTATACCAGACCGATGATACTGTAAAGAACCACCCCGCAAAGAAATTGTTGGGAAATACCAAAGCATGATACCGTCGTAAACAAAGAGAAACTTGTAAAACAGAATTGTGGAGGATACCAAGATCCAATCATAACCCTGTCAATAACAAGGAAACTTGTTACAGTATCATGGATCTGGTATACTCCAACGGTTCTTTTTTTTTCGGTGTACCGACGATACGTTACTCACCACGTGGCAGCTATGCTGACTCTCGCGAGGTCCATCTTGCGAGGCGGCGAGCCGTTCGTGGCCGCGTACCAGATGATGCTGTACCGCCCCTTCTTGCGCAAGCACAGCAGATCGTACGAGTAGAACATTCCTGTGCTGTGCACCAAAAAACAATTTTAAAAAACATCGGCATATTTAAAAAAATATTACAGTTATGTAATTTGTATATTTTTTATGATACGAGTGGTAAAAGTGACATTTTATTTTGCGAGTAGGAAAAGTTGCGACACGTAGCCGATAGCCCGAGTGACAATCGTACGAGCAAAATTAAATCACTTTTATTACATGTGTCATACACCATATTTTAGACTGCTTCACTGGTTCATTTTTTTACTGAAGTATACAAACAAACCACTGAATGATACATTAAGGACATCAGTAGCTGATGCGCTTAGACGTGAGTATTTTGTTTTCTTTGTTCCACAGATTTATCTGGACATTTAAGCATCATATCACGTTTCGCACTAGGACTAAAAATTTAACTTTTATCATGCTATACATGTCCCGGAAGAACCGCTTTTAATAGCGGCTGTCTAAAAATAATTTCTAATAATTGTAACCCAATCAGATTGTATATTTTTCTAAAAGCTTATAATCAACGATTCAAGATCCCTACAATGAGCCACTTCAGCAATTGTTTTTCATTCCTTATAGTTCCAAATATTATTAATCCTAGAACCACACTGTCATATTCTTTACATTATGAAGTTGCGAATGATCCAAGCAAAAAAATATCATTTATAACCAATTTTGAATTGTAATAAACCATTTGTTTAATTTACTTTGTCATTGATAAGTAAAGTTGACTTATCAGAATTATTTGTGTTATTATTCCAATATACCACTCAGTTCCAGAATTCTCTGCCATGTCACTTACATTACATAATTTCCGTGCATGCAAAATTATATTAGACATAACTATCCATTAGGAATTGCTGATAACTTGATCAAATTAGGCACACGAATATATAAAAAATTGAATAGTTTTCTGTTTATTCTTATTAGATCTTGGCCCTAATATTCTTGCATTCGGTGTAAAGTCCTTGACGGTACTTAGTGCATGTATAAGATTTTTTACACGCGTTTGCCCATTTCTGTGACAAGAACAAAAATCACATATTTTAGGTCCTCCTATGTATTGTATCTCATTATATGCATCACATACAATAATGCCACAAATAAGACAATGCATTTCCTTTCCGGAAGGCTCTTTGAGGGAGTCCCCAAAAATTTTAATTTTTACAATTTTCGAAAATTCAGAAGTTGCACTGAAAATCTGACCTGTGCTATTTTTACAAGTGTCGATTGCTCAACTAGTGTAAAAAAAAGTATTTAGATTCATTTTGTGGAAAATTTGAAAACTACTTGAAACTAAAATATCCATTTCAAATTCGAAGGGTAACGACATCAGGCAGAGGTTATGGGGAATATCAATATTAGTAAAAACTACGTGTAAGGTAAAAAAATTACATTTCTTACGCGTTTTTAAATTTGTAGGCGAAAATTGAAGTAACTTCCAATTCTCTGAATTTCCATTGACCACGCCCCATGAATCAACCTGAATATTGTCTTTTTGTTTGTTTCTATCCGGTACGCAACGATCAATGGCGATAATTCTTGTGCCAAGACTATGTACTTGACTACTGTTAATGGATGTACTCGTTTATTTTCCCAAAGTGGGATGTTTTATTTTCGGATAAGAGCAGGCAGTCAAATTTCAAAAGACATCACCATACCCCCCCCCAAAAAAAAACAACAACACTAGAGCAGCATTTTGGTACCAGCCCAGCTCCATTGTTACTATCTATGTGAATCACTTCGGCAGGTACTGATTAATTCATTTTATGAAAGGTTTTTCTGTTTTCTCTGGTGCAAAAATGCAGATCTGACCATTCATTTTGTGGAGACAAGTATCATATATATTTTCATGTATTCAACGTCCCAAGAGTAATAATCTGCGTCTTTTTATTCTCAAAACAAAAGTAATGATTGCGTGGATACTTTTAATATTTACCAACAAATGCTTACAAACAATTGAACATTACTACGTCATAACAATCGACCAGTCAAACAAAGATATTTCGCTTTCATTGTTCGCTGCTCAATGTTCAATGAATCACTTTGATAGACACCGATGAATTAACTCTATAATTGTGAAGTGTTTTATCTAATTTTTTCTGTAGTGCAAAATTGCGGATTTGACCATCCATTTTTGGGGGATCACCCCGCATGATTTTCTTCACCAAGCCGTTGGTTTTTAACTGAAAATTTCAAAATTCATTTATAACATCTCTTCCCATTTTATTTTTAATCATTTTGGTGTAATCATTTTTGGCGTTGTGCCATTTACATACAACGTATTTTTAATCGAAAATTTATTGAAGAATTTATGAATGAAATTTAAAGAAGTTAGATAGATGTATTATACAACTTTCGACAAATTCTTCTTTTAGTCTTCATTCCGTATTATTTCATGCAGAAAGATATTTGCATAATACCTATAAACTAATATTTTTGCTAGAGTTTGAATGATTTTACACCATGAGTTCGTGGTATTAAACGCGCTCGTTTTCTTGAGCTACAAAATATCTACCCCAACTCCTCTGAGAACATTAGTGGAATTAAGAATAAATAATAGAAACGAGTGTTGTTGACAAAATCTGATGACCAGAAATTTTCTCTTCAATGTAATAGAAACTATTTTGCATGAAAAAACGAACGAATCCGTGATATAAAATTCCTTTGGTGAAAATAACCTAACTCTCCACTCCTCTCGTAACTGGCGAAGCGAGGGCTCAAGAAAATGTGCGCGGATAATACTATTTACCACATATTTCCCATTACAAGTAATTTACGCGTAATTAGTCTCATATTACATCATATCATGAATAAAGTTGCGCATCATTTGGGGGTTTTCTCAGCCTTCATGGCTCTGTGTTCCAAATTTTCTTTTCATCAAAAGTTAGAAAGAAAAGCCGAGCCAGAAATAAATCGATTATGATAGAGAATATGCCACTAAACACACAATTTGGAAACTTTAAACAAAAGAAAGCACGGTGGTGGGAATTGTACCAAAAATACAAGCCTAACACGTGCAGTACTAAAGGAAAATGCGTATTTTCTTTATATTTTAAAACTTGGAAATCGTTTGTCATGTGGTTAATCTTACGCCAACACGTGACTTCATTTTTAGTATCTCTCTCGTTACATTCCGTGTATAACATGCCTTTCAACTGGAAGGTTCTTTCAAGAGGATCAAAATACAACAAATTCTCTGGTGAAAATCTTATCGGTTATATGCTCTCAAAAATTACTTCACCTCACAGGTGTGCGCAGAACGGGGAAGAGGGGCCGTGCCCTCCTCCCCCCCCCCACACCTCCTGAAAATTTTTAGTGTCCCCTTAGCTTGATATTTTAACACATTTTATTTCCTTAAATAGGTTCATGCCCTCATTTTCCCATTTTTAAAGTAACAATTTGGGAAATTACGACTTGTGGGGAAGATGCTCTCCATTTCATCACGCAACTGTATAAATGAACATAAAATTAATTATATATAATTGAATCGTTCGAGTTGTAATTTCATTCTCATTGTAGAATATTTTATTATTTTACTTCTTACATATATGTAATAAAATATGACGTTTAAAAGAAGTTCAAAGAAAATGGGAGCCCAAACAAGTAGTTGCCCTTCCTCTATTGTTTTTAGGCCATGCGTGCCCGAGCTCCGACATATTCATTCTTACACATCCATTAATAAATGCCGTTTTTTAGGGTATGCACTGCACCCTAAAAGTTCATGTTTTAACCCTATGCTGAAAGTGAGGCGATGCTAAAATGTTCAGATAAAACAACGCAATGCGACATAGTAACGATAAACAACGAATGCAACATTGTAAAAACACTTTGGTCTGACCGCCTCAGCTATTACAGACCTTAATATAGCGTAGTACATAATTGTTTGTGTACTTAAATTAACCCAAAATGAAAGTCAGTACGGCTGTCTACAAAATAGTGAATGGCACATGTGGTCAGAGTGTATATATACATGTGGTAAGAGTGATTTTATATTTTTCTCCTAGAATTGCGCCACTGAACCTCGCGTTCGCGAAATAAAATGCCAATTTTACCACAGTATCAAAAATTACTATTGTATTATAATTTCTATGAAAACAAAAATGCTTATGAAGCCAAATATGGAAGTATCGTTTAATATTAGAATGGAAGGTATTCTTTTTAACGAGACTTCACAAATCAAAGAATACAGATTCACACATTTTTAACCAAGAAAATTGTTTTGGAAACATACAAGTTTTCTACATATAAAACGTTTGAACTTTTGAAGAAAAAATACGATACTAATAAAAAAATGTGTTTTATCAATACATGAATACACGTTATTTTGTATATGGAAATGGATAAGAATAAAATGCCAAATGAACATCGTACGCTTCTTTAATTCGAACATTTTTACACCCTCTGCAAAACAATGTAAGATGTTCTTTATTATTGAAACATTTTTACCATCGATTAGAAACCTCTGCTACTTTATATTATCTCCTTTCATCTTAAATTTATCCTCTTTCTCACATACATTTCTGTTAATAAACCAAGTAATTAAGGCAAGAATATCTGTATGTGCCATGATCATACTGAAATGTATTTCCGAAAAATTAGAATCTTCCAATGTTAATACGACATACTTGAAAGTAGAAAATTATATTATAATAAAGCACAAATAACGGTTTTGTATATATTAAATTTTATTATGTTCTAATATTGTTGTAATTTACCTGCAGAAACTGCTTCACGTACAGATGCGAGATGAAACAAGTCTTCTTCACAACAGAAGAGTTTTAAAGGAACAATGCAAAAGCAACAATAAACACCACGGCGCATGCGCAAACTTAAGTGACAGAAGCCGAAATATATTACCTCTAAATGTTAATAAAACTTATAATAACATATCTGTAACGTGAAAGTCCTTGTAATTATTAAGAACGATAAATGGTCAAATAAATACTCTTTCATTTTCGTTGGATATATTGTTTCGTATCCATCGTGTTGATTCTCCATCGAATATGTTTTGCGTGCAAGAAATATATAAAAAGGACGAAGTGTAATGAACATACATTTGTGAAGGCTTAAATGCGAGGAAACTATTTTTAATTTGTCTTTGAACTTATAAACTAAACGAATTGTGTTCCGAAAGGCAATATTACTTTTGTGTATTGTTGCACTACTGGCGCTCTCTGGCAATCATAACTAGAACTATGCAATGATTTCAAACTTTCGCTGCCTTGAAACAATTATTGTATATTATTAGTACAACAATTAACAATAATAGTACACTTGGTAATCAATTTGAAAATAATTTTAGTGATATAAATGCATTAGTTAATTTCGCATGGAACTATAATTCTAAGAGATTGGTTATGTCTTTAACAACTATTCTATATTAATAATAACTATTATAATCAACTGGGTCAATACTCCCCATCTCCAAAATGATTCTCGCTTTTCTCTAACAACAGTCACAAAACTGTTGCAGTTTCGAGATCCCATTAATACGCTGTGGTATGACACCCTTTAAATGAAGTTGAAATAACAATAATACATACAAGATTAAGTATTAAAATAAGATTATATAATGTATAATGCGGAAGGATGGGAAGCAGAGTTCAAGAAAAAACTAACAATTTTTGTGAATATTTGGAATGTGTTTCGAATCTTCAAATACTAAGATCCCTTCCCTTACCCGACCGTGCGCTAGCAGGGGGAGCGGTGTGTGACATTCAAAATATCCGTTAAAGACTAGTCGCAAAAAATATCAAAATTACTCAAAAAATGGTTATCGAACATATGACAATATGTATATCATTGGATTTGTCTTTTTACGCTCATGATAGGTTGAAAAAAATACGTACAGTTCTATTTAAAAAAAACAAAACAAAGTTACATCAAATATCTCGTAAAATACCAGTGATAAAATACAAATACACCTATCAGTCCCATTTACTTATGCACTTACGTGGAAACTTCATTGCAAGAACTTTAACCGTTCAAAAGTTATAGGAGATGCTTAAGTTACGTGACTCACCTGTATGTATATCGTTTGATTTCTGGCGGGACGCTCCAGATTTGCGTTTCGGTACCTCCCGGACAATTAAGACCAACAAAAATCAATGAGCAAACACTGGGCGGCTTCAATTTTGAGTTTATCCAACTTTCATAAAGACAAAATAAAATACCTCTCCACTTCACTGTCGCTATCAATATCATAAAATTATTAGTAAATAACTTATAAAAAGATCGCAATATACTTCGAGTCTATCATTATTACTTCGTATTTTTATTATTAATATTAATAATTATATTATAATATGAATAAATACCAATTTCTATTACAATTTTAATTAATTTGCAGTGCGTTCCTGGACCTACATTTTTGGAAATCACGCACTGTATACATACATTTAACAATATTTTTTTTTAATCTTACACTATTTAACGACTTTTCTCATTTTCCCTTAAAACTCATAAAATACCATTTTATTTTGTACATAAACAAGAATTTATATCTATAGCAAAGAAGTATCGTACCAACTAATTAATACTCTAAATTGCTGTAGAGCGGACGTTACAATACGAAGAGCGGAGTTTAGATTTTAGAATTGCAAACAAATCATTAAATTAATGGCTCGTTGCTGCTAACTGCATCATCAAATGATTCAGAGCATATGTTACATCAAAAGTTGTTTTTATCCATTAATTAGTACAATTTTTCAAATTTTCACGAAGTTACGATAGTATTTCAAATGATACGTAACAAAATGTATGTAACAAATGTTACATACGTAGGTATATCAATCTCACAAATGTTTACACACTTCATATCTCGTATTTCTCGAGATCTTACTGGGAACAAATTATGCATAGCAATGTTAGCATTTTCGAAAATTTCCGCAGGAATTTCGCAAATTCCTTACATTTTATACGAATAACCCTCTTAGAGGTATCGTTATTAGTAGCGTCCGGATAATTATAATATTTTTCCTAACGTAACTGTCAAGTCGAATCAACGATATCTTCACATTTCCAAGTTTTAAAGTTAGTGCCAAAAAACGAGTTTTTTAGTACATATTGTTACATATTTTACCCGAAAGAACATACATTTAAATATTTTACCCCTTCCTCAAAAAAACAAATTTTTACTTATTACTGAATTTTCCCATTTTTCAGGAGTTTTTTCATTTAATTCTTTATTTTTCCTGTATGTTTTTGATATAAAATCTCTCAGACAAACAATTCAGCTTTGCCGATTGTTTTCTTCTTTAGCCTCTTAAATGCCTCTATTGCATTTCGTTGAAATGACCGACGGTACTGCAAATAAAAGGGGAAGGTGACGACGCAATCCCCAGCTTCGTGTGTGTTAGTTTTCAGCGCGAGTATCGCAGACAACACAAAGGAAGTTCGGTTTGTAAAAATTATATATTCAGTAGGCGATATCGCGCACTCACTTTGCATCTTTCAGGGGGTCTCCCTTGACCTTAGTACCTTCCACCAGAAACTATTCGCCCAGCTCAAGAAGCGCCGTTGACATTTTTCTTTACCCGATTGTCACACGAGAACCTCCGCCGTTGTTTGTTAATTATTCCTTGGCCCGAAAATCTGAAGTAAAATTACGACGTGACACTGAAGCGTTTGGATTAAACCTTATGGGCAGTGATACGCTGTGCGAGAATTGAGCAAGGAAAGTAATATTAATTTTAACAATGACATTTAATGTATGATATATCAATTGGCTTGTATAATTGTAAAGAACCTGTAACAAGTATTGTACTTCAGCTTCTGGGTCAATGACCCCCATCTCGATCAGTTTCCGGCTTGATTCTCGTTTCCAGTTTCCTGCATCCTCGGGCAAAAGCTTGAGGACTTGCCCCTTGTTTTGCTTATGACATATAAATCTGTAAACTTCAAAGTAACTTCTTCCCATTCACGTCACACACAGTTTTTAAACGTAAATAAATAAATAGCACAGGAAGTGCGGTTGTTTTCCGCGTGATTGTCCATCTTCCTAAAATCCATGTTCGGGCAATTTGAAAACCCGCGACGTGTTTACTGAGAAAAAAGTTTCCCTCACGTAAAAAAGGTCTCTCTGACATTTTGAAAAAAAACTGACAAAAGAATTTGGTCCAAATGTTAATTAGGAATTTCGATTTTTTGTGCCTTTTTTGTAAGAGTTTAGTTTAGATCTCCGCTGTTTGAAAATATCTGAAAGTTTCGGTGAAAAAGGATTGCATTTAAATATAGGAGTAAGGAATCTTTAACAGGGACCAATGCCAGGAAGTCATCTAAAAAACCGGTCCAAATATTTATAATTTTAGTTTACCGATTATTTTTGAAAGATTTCATAGGAAAAATGATTAATATTCGTATTTACATAATTCTGGAACCGGAATATGTTGTGTAGGTTGTGTGGGGGTATGTGTAGTGGTTGTGTGGTGCGAAGGTGTGTGTGTATGTGGTGTGAGTGCATGTGAGTATGTTGGTTAGTGTGTGGTATGTGTGTGGAGTTGGTGTGCAGTGTGTGCGTATTTGTTGCGGTGAGTGGTTGTGAGTGTGTTGCGTATTGGTGTGAGTGTGTGAGTGTGTTGCGTATATTTTGCGTCGTTTCTGAGTGGCGTATTTGTCTGGGTGTGAGTGTGCGTATGTGGTGTGAGTGTGCGTATGTGGTGTGAGTGTGCGTATGTGGTGTGAGAGTGCGTATGTGGTGTGAGTGTGCGTATGTGGTGTGAGTGTGCGTATGTGGTGTGAGTGCGCGTATGTGGTGTGAGAGTGCGTATGTGGTGTGAGTGCGCGTATGTGGTGTGAGTGCGCGTATGTGGTGTGAGTGTGCGTATGTGGTGTGTGTGTGTGCGTATGTGGTGTGTGTGTGCATATGTGGTGTGTGTGTGTACAAAATTGTAAATGTGAAGGAAAGTTATCACATCAGCTTGGCTTTCATGCGGAGCTTCCACCAGCCACACGTCTCTTCAGGAAGTCATCTGCGAACACAAGTATTCATTTCAATTAACACTGCAAACACAACACTCCCTCCACTCTTTAAGCTCTTCCAACACTAATCAGAAAAATGAAAATGTCAGCAAAATTGGTCAAGTAGTTTTTGCATTCATATGAATAGGTTTTGTGTACACACGAACATTAACTCTTATTCATTTAAAAGAAAGGATTAGGTCAAATACATTTAATTATCGATTAATTATTTTGTATTTCAGGACACATTAATTGTTGAGTTCATTATTATCATAACTGTATAGCACATTTATCACCGGAGATGGTAGAATTCCTCGCCTGCTAGGTTATGAGAGCTGGCATCAAACTACAGAAGAACCTTACTAATTCGTAATTTCAAATAATGTGAACAAAATTGAGGATGGAGGAAAATTAAACAAAATAAATAAAATGCTTATTTGTAGTGTAAAGAAAGGATTTTATAATGACTGTGGGACTGAATCACTTATTATTGAAACATAAGTTGATGAAATGAAATGTTTATAGCACTGGTAATTATGGTGTAATTACATGTTTATGTAGCAGTCATTTTCACTTTAAGGAACTTGCAAAATCGGTCATCTTTTGAGTTAAGGAACTCAATCTGCTCGATGATGCACTGTGATGATATGATGTGATCACAACGCTACGTTGTAATTTAATTTTCTCACATCACAAGCTACGTTGCATTGTCTGGTAATCCTATAGATGAATTTGTATATGTATGGTAAATTTTTCAAATAATCCAAACATCCAATTGGTTCAGATTAACGAGGTTCTACTGTACACGTCAGTTGGCAGATGATTCCCTATCCAGGTACCTCAGCCAGTGGGTCATCACCCCAGCCAGGACAAGCTAGAAGCTCCAGCCATGTGCGATAGAGAAGAGCACAGTAATATGCATGCAAGGTGATAAGATGGGAAGGATGATAAAGGCAAGATGCATGCAATTTGTTAGGTTACTGCTACGGCATTCACCGAGAATAGAGATCAGAAAAAACATTGAAAACTAACAATTAGAGCAGCTGTCCACCACAATTTTCCTTGAGATTGCCTGATTTGGAGCTATCTAGTAAGTTTGGAAAATGCATACCCTTTGGCACACAAACTCCAAGAGCCACCTCAGCTGGTCAAATACATTCAAAATGTATATGTTTTGTACGAGGAAGACCATTGCAAATGTGCATGATGAGTCCATTGAACCAAGTAATACATTTGACTTAATTCAGATGAGGATTCATTTTAATATTCACTCTGAGGAAAATTAAGGAGATTGACTACATATATCAGTTATCCTTTCTGTTAAGACAGTGTAACGTTTTCATGCAGCTTCAACAAAAATTTCACTACTGCAAAATTATTTCTTAGGGGGGTCTTCCACTTTTCCTTTGGTTATATGAACAATATTTTCTCTTTAACGTAATTCAAACTTTCACTACTATGAATTAAAATTTTCCATTTATGCTTCAGTTTCTAAGTCTAAACAATGATTAACTTTTGTTTCTTGTCTTCTATATTTTCAGATGAGCTATTTACTCATTCGTTGATACTAATTTTATGCAAATGCTAATCTTCAGTAGTATATTATTCATGACTATCATTAATTTAAATTGCGCTTTTAAATTATTACCACAATAATGTATACTCCCATTTATCCTAATACTTTTCTGTTTTATTTTTCTTCTTTCTTTGTGCCATACTTTGTAAAATGATAAACTGTGTGATGTGACAATGTTAAGAGAAGGATCCCGAACAAATAAGTAAATATTTGCAATTCATACAGTTTTCCGATACATCATTTTCTTATTATAAGGTAGTAGCTGAATGTGACATGACCCACTTGTTAAACCGTTTTAAAAATATTATCATATGGTTAAAATGTATACTATGTAAGTTCTAAAGAAAAAGAAACTTTGAATATACAATTGTCTGGTTCTTTCATCCTTTGACGTGGTTTGTAAAAAGTGATCAATTAAGAAATAAAATTGAATAATAAAAAAATGTGTGGCCGCAATCAATCTTCGAGTCAGTTCTTCCTAGCTATGCAACCCACCTGTTTTTCCAAACAATTCTTATGGAGTCAAATCAAGTTTCAACCAATAGTTCAGTTGTTTGCCTCTAGATCATATACAGTGGAATCTTGTTAGCACGGCGGTTAACATGTTTTCCCACTTAGTACGTTCATATTTTAAAGTCCCAGTAGCAATTCCACGAAATTACTCGTTTATACATTCAACATTCCTTAGCGTGTTCTATGTTTGTAGGTAAATTGCTTCGTGAGTCACGCCTTTCCTGGTGCACCAGCGCCATTTTCAATGTGTCATTCTCTGGTACTTTTGGGTACCACTTTCACTTTCAGTCCGATTTCAGAGCCGGAGATACGTGTTTTGTTGTACACTCCGCATCATCTTGGTTGAGGGTTACCACGTATTACCTTGCTGTGTTTCTTTCATGTGATAGACTCAGAGCCAGAGGTGTAACATTCAGGCCCGCAATGCAAGCAGGACAGATAAAAGAGGGCCTATTTTATGGGATATTTTAATTATTTAAGGTACCAATACTACTGGTTTGTTATACACTTTTATAAAGGGGACCCAGACAAAAGTTTGGTGGGTGGGCCAACACTCATTTAGTTACGATATTGCTCAGAGCACTATTTTTTTCTGGGGTGTGTGTTTATGTAAAGTTCATTCGTCGCTGTATAGAAAAGATAGACAATGACCAATGAAGAGAGATGGAACGTTATCCTACAACTGAGGTGGTCAATGCAAGTTATGAGGGGAAAAAAGGGACAGTCAATATTTCAAACCTGTAAAAAATATTTAATTTTCTCTGTTAATGTGTGTTACTTTAAGGACTTTTTTTTAATTGTTGTAATTTAGTTTTATTTAGTGTCATTTATGAGTAAATTAGCTCATCCCATGGATATTTGCATGTTATTTACGTATACATTAGTTTTCCGTATTATGGTGGCTCGCAGACGATGTGGAAAGTATAAATTGAGCATTATTCGTTAGCACATTTTCCCTCAATGATATGATGTTCAAAATTTCCAGTCCCTTGAAAAACATATTATCGAGATTCAACTGTACATGAATGGGTGAAACCAGAACAGTAGACTTGACATTTTATAAATTCAGCGAAATCATTTTATTGAAGTCCATGGCACAGTAAAGTCATGATGGTTTAATTCATCATTAAAACCACGAAAATACATTGCCATTAAAATAGAGCCTAAAACAAACATGTTTTTCTCAGAATTTATAAAATGTAACCGATACTGTTATGGTTTTATAAAACGAAACCAGTTTTGTCTGTGAACATATTTTTACACACACACACTCACAAAGCACAATCCTGAATACGCCAACTGGGCAACCCAGGTACAATTCTTACCATTAACACCATTTCTGTCAACTTCAAGAGTTTAAGATGTATTGAGCTTTGCACCAATCTAGTATCACTGATGTTGATCCTTCTTGATGAAGATCTTGCAACAATGTGTGGATGTAACTGGAAAAAGTAATCCCTGCCCTCTGCAAAAAAGACTTTAAAAGGAAAAACAGAATCGTAAAAAGAGATTCAGATATATTTAAAAAAAATTATATATTTCTGTTTTTCTTTCTCTATCAAGAACAATAATTAAACATAAATAATGAAATAGCTACGGCACAACACAAAATGTACAACTGTTATCAACAAATTCACTAATTGATCAAATGCATTTGAAAAAGAGTTGATTGCACAGGACTTAATTCCGATTCTGTTTCCAATTATCACTCAAGATCCCTCAGATTGATTGTGGACTCAGTGTAGAATTGTGAATCACCTCCATCTAACAATAAAACTTGCAAGCCGGACTCCTCCTGGAACAAAGAAATATATACTTTTCAAGGACCTATTCAATACAAAAGACCAGAGCAATAACAAATCTTTACTCTAAATGAAAATTATTGTGTGTTCTGGTATTGTTATCTCAGCAGAAAAAAGTTGTAAACATTTTACTAAATGTATGCCTTTTATTGTTACATCAGAATATATGCGCGAGTGATTTAAGATAGCAATCGGATGTAAAGGGTCAGGCCGAACTTGCCAAATTTCAAAGATCCTGCTTGTTCTCTTTCATCATACTTGAAATTTAATTAGATAACTAAATCTTATTTACTGAATTAAGCATGTAAATAATATTTCTTAAAAAGAAATTTCAAAGTGTACTTTTCTTGCTTTCTAGCTGAATAAATAGCAGATTTCGTGCAAACCAGAGTCTCGATTTAGTGCAATGCCAAGAATGATAAGTGGTAAAATATCTCTACTATAAATTTAGCCATTTGATTATGAAATTGAATGATGAATCATTTCATTAAGCATGCCCCCCTCCAATTTTGGATTTAGCATCAGTAAGTGTACAAAAAACAACACAAAAAAACAAAAACAAATTCACCACCCACTCACTAATATGACCGAACAGACCAAATTAAGAGGGTGTAGACAACATTAAACATACCTGCAATAGCAAATTGAGATCAGTAGTAGGAGCCACCAGCCCAGCCATTTCTGGAGGAATACACAGGGCAGTCACAGGATCTCGCAGGCCCACTATGGCATCTGCGAGAGCAGATTCTGTTCCGCATGAACCTGCATTGCTACTTCCAATCGTAGCAACACTATTATCACAGCCACTACTAATAACTTTGTTATCACTGCCGGTGTACTGCTGACGCTTCCTCTGGATCACATCCTGGTAAGTTAAATGCGTGCGAGCAGCTTGACATGTAGGGTCATCAGCGATTTCATCCACTTCAGAATCACTTAAATTATCAAGGTTGAAGGCAATCACTCGAGACTGCTCGTAATTATCCTGGAGAGAGAAAAAATGTATCAAGATACACGAACTTAAGTTTTTCGCAAGGTGCATGCAAGGTATCCACGCTCATGTAATAATCAACTGTCATTCAGGGGTCTACAGAATCATGATAATTTCCTGGTAATACTATGAGATGTGGAATCAGAAAGCGAAAACAACAAAATTTCAAATAAATGAAGGTGCATCAAATACTTTAAACAAAATTATTTAATGTGACACTAATATTTTTGATTTAAAGGGGAAATGAAAAAGGTTGAATAAACAAATACTTAAATACTATCTTACAGTTGTACACTGCCTTGGGAGGTTCATGATAAAACGAAATTTCAAACACAATACAGTTGCTGGGTTGTCTTCCCTCAAACACAGAGAGTTTTATGAAAAAAATATCAATGCAAGTACTTTTTTTAGGAGTATGCATAATAATGAAATCAGGTTTCACTAACATTCATTGTATAAATCATGCTCTAATGATTCACATTAAGACGAAAAGACAGGGTAGTAATTCATAAGTAAGAGTTTTATGGATTGTTATATGTACTGAATGTTTTCTGTACAAGTCCTTAATGTACACAAATACACCTCTTCTAGAATATTCCAGAAGGATCTGGTTGAAAATAATGTCAATCAAACCAAGGGATCAATCTTGTTGAGAGGATTTAAACGAGCTATTGTTCACCTCTGTATTGTTAAATTCAACTGTGTTACAATTCAGAAGAATATATAAGTATATATACAGATATTGCAGAATATATACATACACAGGGTGTTTAGCTTAACTCGCAACCCATATCTAGAAACACCACCTTTGGTTTTGGCAATTTGGCAACGCACGAAAAACCTTTGACCTCCCTTTCACTTTCAGCTACCCACGTCCGCATGACCTCAGATTTCGGAGTGAGAGAATGTGGCTAATATTAGTAGGAAGAAAGAGAAAGTACTTGTTCTGTCCTTGTTAGTCTTCAATGTACTGCAGCCCCTACACTGAAAACAGTAAACACCTATTTCTTGGCAAATGGTGGGCTGCCGCATAAAAACGGCGATTCGCTGACCATTCTTCTTATTCCGAATGCTGGCAATGCAGCAACTTCTAAATAGAATTGTCGTCGTGTGGCGATTTGACAATTGAGTAGCCAGTGAGATTCAGTAGGAGTTATGAACGTCAGAGAGATGTACAGTTTGAAATTTGTGAAGAAGTGGCCTTGAAAGTAGACAAAAAAAGGGAGTTTTCCATCAGGCAAAGACTTGAGAAATTAGTACTTTAAAATTATTCTAAGTGATTCAGTAGACAACGAAATTGGACAGTATTCTTGTGCTGTAAAGAAACAGTTACCGTCAGTCACTTGCATTAATTAGAACTGTGCAATTTGAGTGCTGCACAGTCACCTCAACTAAGCAAATGTTCATCTTTTAACCATTTGTGGCTTGCAAGGAACATTCACATGGGGGCGTGAACGAGACGACAATGAGCAAGAAAGAAACAGTCGAGGATGGCCGTTCAAGAGAGAAGACAGAAGGCAACATGAGTAGGAGGCGATGGCTGCGGTGGAGACAGCACACGCTGAAGCAGAGGACAGTGTTGGTTACATCCGAGCAGACGCTGGCGAGCGCAGGTGATGCGGGCCAAAGTCGGGTCCCAGTGCGAGGCAAAGACTGCGAAGCGTCTGGTAACGATGAGCAGTTCAGAAAGCTCTGAAATATAGGTCAACCGCACGCAATCAAAAGTGGAACTTGTGAAAAAAAAAAAAAGGGGGGGGGGATGTTTCTGAGGGAAAGTAAAGCAGCAGAAGATTTAAAATGGGCAGACTCTTTGACTTTACTAAAACATTATTTTGCTTGCAGAACTGGGAGACATTTATGTATTTAATTAATGTTATTCAGCTTAACAATAATACTTGAGAGTGTAATGTCATTTTACACATAATTTATATTAAATTTAGTTAGTTGAAATGATGCAATCAGAAACCAGCGTCATTAGTTAGATTGAACAGAAATGAAGGTAATTTCACAAATAATATAAATAACAGAATCCCAGAAAATAAGAATGTGCACGTACTAGTGAATAAATATTGAAAGCAATATTAAAGAGAAATAAACTATTTTTTTGTTGTTCTGTGATACTTTTATAAATATGTGTTAATTGTATTCAACTGAGAGCTCCTGAATTCATTAAACCCAGTTTAATTGATTTATGTGTACCTGTGTTTAGAATTCCTCTCATCACCCCAAAAGATCCCACTGCCCTAAGAGGTATTATAAAACTCAAAAGAGAGTGATATCTACGGATTCCCACTAGGCGTCTAGGAATTATTTGGCAGGGATTTTCATCAGAATATACATACACACAAGATAGACATAACAATGACATCAAGTTACGAACACAATTGTTTGAACATATTTCACACAGTTCACAGTGAGATCATGCATTTGCTTCAAAAGAATTAACATCATACAAATGTTTCCACTGTGTTCCAGATATAATATTCAAATTGGGTTTGTAACCTTGTTTTTATGCATTCATAAGGCAATATATTGGATGGCCTTCAGATCTGAATGTTTAATTTATACACTTCTTTTACTTTAAAATGGTTTGATTGCTGGTTATGGTATTCAAAAATTGAAAGCCAACATTGATGTAATGAAACTTGGGTGAAATATTCCTTGCTTGTCTGTATAATGTGTGGTAAATACTGAGTTGAGATTTATTTATAGTTGTTTCTTTGTAGAAGTAAGAAAAGATTACTGTTCCTAAACTAACAAAATAATATATGTACTGTACTGCACTTTGTTTAAACTTTTTCAAGTGATTGCTTAAGCGATAGTAGGGCAGAAATTGCCATTTTATATTCCACAACTGTTTCCAATTATATGAGAAAGCATGTGCTGTTGTAGCTTATCTAGTTTTTAATTTAATGATCTGAGAGCTCATTTTGATTCACGGAATACAACTTACGGGTCTGTAATTTGTATCTAATTTATCACTTTATGGTTTTCCTCATCTTCGAATTTCAATATCGTCAGTATTTTAATTTGTATTTTTCTAGAAAATATTGATACAAGTACAGTAAAACTTCACTTTTATTTTTCTCGGGGGACTGAAGGGAAAAATGTATAGTGAAAAAAACACTTAACTGAAATTGAATACTACCAACAACATGAAAAAAAAAAAAATTTTAAAATTAGTGTCTGTTCCATTCGTAGACCTTCTTGCAGGAACTGCTTACCAATGTTACTTAGAAGACACCTGGGCCGTGCACAGGCTTATCCGGTGGAAAAGATAGCGCCGATAGTCACTTTTTATGCAGTCCCAAAACCCAAAATTTCTGTTCCAGCACAATCTATTTCCATACAAAAGGAATTATTCATGAACTACATTTACACAACGAATTAAAAGAACTTACTGCAAGAAGAGGATCACTAATGGACTCTGTAGCAAGATGCAGCTCTCTATCTTGATCAGATGCTGTTGCGTCAGTTGAAGTAGTGGAAGTTAACAGCACTCTGGTTCCTGCGCTCGTATCATCTTGCAAACAAGCTTCTCCCTACAAACAAAATGGTTCTTAAACTTCACAAATACTTTAACGAAACACTTCTTTAGCATCCAAAAAAGAGGGTGGTTATACTTTCCTGATACAACACATTCCCCCCCCCCCCCAAGTAAAAGTATTTCGTAGATAGAATTAATTATTTTTCTTGTCTAATAAATCATTATGATAATAGTTAATGCTGGGTACTACAGTTCATCTAGTTATGTAACTCCCTCTATAACTCTTTAATTTACAAGTATTAAGCTCTGCAGTACTTTATAAACATTCAAGAATAGAATGTTTGGGCTTAAAAATGATACTGTGCTGTATAATTTCTGTAAAGACTAGGTATAAACTTTATTTGATATGTTCTTTCATTTAGCCTGAAAAAGTACAAATAAGTTGTTTTTTTCATTTTCAATAATAATTAGCTCCAGTTTGATTGTTTGAAACAATCTGGAAAGCAGAGAGATACGGAGCAATCTGGACGCAACTCAGTGTCTTTCCTTGAACATTTTCCAGTAGAATTTTTAGCTTTATCGGAGCACTTTGTCTCTGCCAGTAAGCTTTTTGCCACTTAGTGTATTTCTTCTTATATGTGGGAGTCTCAAAATAGATCAGAAACCTGACACATGGTAGCAGTATACCCTGTGCACAGTCCTTATGCAGCCCTACCCCAAATAGAATCTGTTAGATCTGTAATGCAAACAAGGATACAAAAGAACGAACTGCACTGGAGCATGGGTCACCAGACAATGGATGCAGCCCACACTGAGCTTGAAGCAAAATGGACAGGAATAAGAATAGCTTGTCAAGGCCTGTGAAGACTGGCAGCGATTATGAAAGTAGCTATGATCAACAATGCTGGTGAAAGTAATTGAATTTCTATGATTTGTAAATTTGTGAGAAGAAATGAATTATAAATGTTACACTCAACTTAAAATTTGTTTTACTTCCTAGGAATTTCTTTTCTTTAAAAAATAATCTCTTGAATTTTCAACTCCCATTTTGCAAATTGCATTTTAGAAAAAGAAGAAAAGTCTCTCCGCAAAGTGGTTGGAGAAGAAAAGGCTGTATTAAATAAAACAATTATTCAACCAAAGCATAAATTCTGAAGGTCAGCCAAGTGAATGATCAATTTAATTTCATGCATCCATTATATTAGTAATTCTTTAAAGAAAAAAATTTGATAGAAATGTCTTTTTAAAAATAGTTCTGCAATCTGAGAGTTAAAATTGCATACACTTCCACATCTAAGATTAATTTTTACCTCTTCTGCTTCCTGTTGAGTCACAACCAACATGTTGCCAACTTGAGGTGCTGTCAAAAGTTCTGGAAAACAGAAGAAAAAATAAAATGTACCTCCTCTTCCCACATCCAAAATGTGAATCTAAGTACAAAAAGAGCAAAGAGTGATAAATTATTGTGAAATTTCAGGGTGCCTACCGATTTACAGAATTAGTTTCTCTGCTCTGATAACAGTTTCTCTGCATTAAATTTAATCAGTAACAAACTCAAATAACACTTTTTATATTTTAAATTTTATATTATAAGAAAAATATTATAAAGGCTCTAGCTGGATAAGATAATAAAAATTGTTCCCTCTTGAAATTGAAAATTAAATCTTTCCTAAGCATTGTGACCACGAAAAATATTTTTTCATGGGCTTTTACATTCTTCTTCCCTACATATCATTTGTAATAATGAAAAAGGTGATTTTATTATTTAATTTGTTTCATTGAATTGGCTGAATGAATTTTCATTTAAAATAACCTTTCAGGTGCGAAATTTATTCAATTTTTCAATAATAATTTTAAAAATTTTATTTGCCACAAAATTAACACTTTTAAATGAATTTTAAAATTCTTTTAAAGCAAGTTTTAATTCAGTCAGGTGCATGAGAAAATTTTCAAACGTTCCCGTCTTCACAAATTTTTTCAGTTTTTCTTGATTGGTACACCATGTTTAAAAGAATTAAAATACATATTTTTGTCCCTTATTTTTGTGTATATACTACTGTATAGAGTTATGTAAATACAATATTATATTCAAGAAACAATACTTGCAATATTTAAAGGCTAATATCAATAAATAATTTTGCAATAATATTTTGACTGTTGAATATAAACGCAGCGGATGGTGAATAATTTTTTATTATTTCAATAGAAAATCTGTTTATTATGTTGTACTTATTATGTTAGTATACACCACTACTTCTAAAATTCTCAAGGAATTCTCACTAAAATTAGAATTATTTCTCTATAATTGATAATTTTTCAAACCTTTCAGGTAATTTAAAGTTAATAAAAAAAATTTTTCACCATTTTGTATGGGTAAATGTAACGGTGAAAATATTATTGACTATAGCTATTTATGTGACAAGTCCTTTAAAGACATGTGTTACATTCAATGTTTTTTGTTTATTCTAGTTATTCTGGTTACTTAAAATAAATGTTTAACATTTTCATTAATTAAGATTTGTCATTACTATGTTCTGTAGGAAGGGTTGATACTACAGGGTCTTCATAGAGCTTATAAATAAAAACTGCAGAGCGCAGAAGGACCAAAAGGAGAAGTGGGACGAAGAGGGCAATGGGGACAAAATTGATAAAATTGGAAAAGGGGAAGAAAAGGGACAAAATGGGGAAAGGTGGACAAATTAGACAATGGGGACAAAAGGACAATGTGACAAAATGGTACCAGGGGTCAAAAATCGGACTAGGAGACAAAATGGGGAATTAGGGACCAAATGTTATGAGGGGTAAATTGTACAAGGGAAGAGAAGAGAATTAGACAAGAGAACACGTCGAACATTAGGACAAAATGAGCCAGTATGGCAAACGGAAAGGGGAGGAAAAGTGGGACAAAAGGGATATGGGGAAAAAAGAGATGGATTGTACAAGTGGTACTAAAGGGGTATTTATCCAAAGATTGATGAGCAATGATGAAATCTAAATCTGAGACTCCGCTAAAATTTTTTAACGGATAAAAGAGTATTTCAACGACCTTATAAATTTATGGAGACGCTCTTAATGCCTTGTTTAGATGGTTGTTTGCTAAGGAGTTAAGCACGTATTTACTGACATACATAACGAAACTAATTTTTAACATGCCGTGAGCAAAATGCAGTTTCTCGTGCTGGTTTTCAATGTGCGAAACAGCTAATTGTTTCAGTCATCACAAAGCGTTTGCCTGACATATTGCATTTCACTCACACCGTACCAACACGGGCATGTGGTGAACACTACACTCGACTCATACGCGAATCACCTGTTTTGGTCCTTTGTTACATAAGCTACTATACTGATATTAGCATTTTAATGTTTCTAATATTGACACTGAAAAAAATATAATTACTGTACATACCTCACTACTGTCCTATATACACGAAACTAATGGGACAAAAATATGTATTTTAATTCTTTTAAACATTGCTCCAATCGCAAAAATTTGAAAAAATTCCAGAAAATAGCTGATTTTTAGGACAATTTTTGAGATCTTTCTTGTGCACCCGGGGGAATTAAAACTTGCTTTAAAAAAAACTCAAAATTTAAAAATCCATTTAAAAGCTTCAATTGAAAAAACACTTTTTGAAGATACATTTTCCGGACTGGTAGGCCATGCTCCAAGGGCCAAACGTTTCATGCACGTCTGCGGTGGATATCCTTGACATCCGGTGACATAAGAGTCACGGGCGCAGTGTCTGGCCTTTCAGTGCCAACTGCACCACGGCCTACCAGCCCGGAAAATGTATCTTCTATTGACTCCGAACGCGAAAGCTTACAAACTTTTCATTATTACGAAGGATATGGAGGGGGGAAGAATCTGAAACTTCTGGAAAAAATGTTCTTTGTGGTTACAATCCTTAGAAAAAATTTTATTTTCAATTTCAAGCGGGGCACTTTTTACCATCTTATCCAGCAAGACTTTCTTATATATTTTCAATTAGAAGAAAACTACAGACCGAGATAATTTTTTCTTTAACACCAAAATGTATATATTTAAATATAAAACTAGGTTTTTTTCTAAATATCTCATTAAAAAAATGTGAAGTTTCCTCATATTCGCAAATTGTCGAATCGTCTGATCAGCTGAGTCTATCCATATCAAGAAACTCAAATTTGACATAATATTCTGCAAAGGGGCTAAATACCTTGCATATTTGAAATACTTAACTATTTTCACAGATGTTTTCTTCACATTTCTCTACATTTACTGAGCAATAGAGATCAATATTTTTAATGAGCAGGTAAAGAGAAATTCTCAAATGAAGGAATAAAAATTGTTGTTGAGATTGTTTACTCATTAACCTTATGCAAATCTGTGTTTAGCAAGAGAATGAAATTAAAAAATTAATTTTGATAGAAGATCTATGCCTTCTACATTCAATTACAGAGACGTAATAATAAGAAAAAAATTTATTCACAAGTTCTCTAACCAATAGTAATTGGCCTCTCCCCTTTGCCTTAGTTGCATATATCACCTGAATTTAAAGTTGTAAAATAATCCACAAGCATGTGCGACACAAACAAAATCTTGGAAAACAGAAGGGAATGCTGAACAGGTGGCATCAGATAACTCAAATCCAACATACAAAACTTTCAGAGGGGAGGCACTAAAATGTCAGTCACCAAGTACAGGAGGACCAGAAAGAAATGAATATGATAGGATGGAAAAATGGCGATTATATGAGGGAAAATAATAATAATAATAATAATAATAATAATAATAATAATAATAACGATAATATAAGTATTACCTCAAGTAAAATGATTTAAAATTCTCAAGAAGGCAATTTAACAATTTGCAATTTTATTTTGACTGAATAATAAGAATTAATTATAAAAAATTGTCAGAAGGACTCAAGAAAATTAGAGGGTTGCCTTATGTTTTATAAAGATGGTGCTTCAAAAGCAAGTTGAAATCTATAATCATTATTACTTCAACCCCTAATAATAGGCACCAATGGTAGATAAATTAAATTGTTAATTGCACAGGGCATTTTAAAATAAATGTTTAAATGAATTTATAATTATGGCAATTGTTTGTGAAATTGCTAATAGGCACTATACTCATTTTCACACTGTGAAGAGATAATGGGCTCTTATAGACAATGTTATTATTACAGAAGAATTTCGTGCACTGGTGAAAAATCAATTGTGGCAAAAGTAGAAAAACTGTAGTCCTGAAGAGAAAATGACGAAAAATACGATGGTTATCATGAAAAATGTATCATTAACTTGCAGCTTAAATGGAATTTTAAGAGAATAAACCGTATTTACCCAAATATAAGACAAGCTTTTTTCTTAAAAATCTCATTTACAACATACATGATCGTCTTATATTTGCAGATTTATGTTTTTATATTGTCTTTCCATGTTACAAAACTAATTTACTTAATGCTGACCCAACAATAAGCTGCAGAGATGATAAAATACATCAGGTGCTATAATGAGTTATTGCTAAATTTCTATAAAAATATATTAGTGGACATATTTTTGTGACCACCTTGCATTCACTGTAAATTTGCCAGTGATTCAGTGAAAAAGGGGATGTGAATTTACCTGAGTTAATAAATTCTGAACTGTAAGTTGTAACTGGATCAAATAAAGAACTGGTTGTTAGCAATCCAGTAGAATTCATATCTCCTGTTCCTAAAACAAATAAAAAAAACAACTTAAGTTATGTACAAATTTGTGGCTGATAAATTTAATAATTACAAAGGAATATGTATTAATTAAACTGCTTTTGACTATGAAAATTCTGAACTACAGCAGACTCAGAATCGCTTTCGATATCATTTGAAACACAGAAGCGATATAACAATCGCTCACTTTCCAAACTTGAAAGATGCTCTAATTTATACACATTTTTATGTCATAAGATACTTTTCAATTTTTAACATTAACGCTTAAAAGTCTGGAAATGACACATTATAGTATTCTGGACAACCATAGAACTAGAAACTTTGAAGTTAGATACCTTTCCATAATTGACATATTTTTATATTCCTGCACAAAGTAAAAGTATATTCACTTCCACAGTCTGCCATTTTACCATTGTAGATTGATACAGTTGATGAAAACACAGTTACATGCTACACAATTTGCCCTAACCAGTGTATGTATTATGACAATTTTATATAAAACACTTTCTGAGAGTAAGCAACTTTTGACACGAACTCAACAATAAATTATTATTCAAGAAACAAAATTTTGAAAGCTATTTTGACAGTCCAGCATTCTGGAACATAAGAGTTTTTCCATTCACAGACTACTTTAGGACTACCTATGATAATTTATTTTAATTAATTCCAATATTTTTTTACATTGCATTAAGAAAGAAATCACCATTTTTAATAATTTAGTTTTAGAAGAGTTTCAAAAACTTAGGGTAGTCTTAATGTGCACATGCCTAGATCCTGCAATAAGCGAATTGTGCACAAATTCTGCAAACAAATTTAAAATACTGACAGTGTGTCTTTTCTGCTCACATGCATAATGTTTGGAGATCATGTGGGGGTTTGTTTATACTAAGCATGAATTTTAAAGTATGCCAAGTAAGACAATGTTTTATAGATTATCACGTCATTTGTTAGTTTATGACTTGAAATTATGTAATTAACTTAACTTAAAATAGTTATCTAAAAATGATTCTTACAGTTAATAAAATTTATTACAAATAATTTATCATAAATAATAAATTCTGCCCATTAAAAATAATCATTAGTTTGAATTCTACACCAATAATAATTTTTTTTTAAAGTGAGAACTTCTTTCTCTTTATTTTCTCTGGAATTGAAATACCTAGCATTTTCCAGAAAGTGATCACCCTGGTATAGAAATGAAAATACCTTTTCCATTTTCTGTACAGAAAAATTCAGCTAAAAGAGAGTAAAACAGGCTTTAGGGGTGGGTGAGGGGCCGATCCCCCAATGATCTTCAAAAAATCTCCATAGATAGGCGAAGACAAAACCCTCAGTGCTGTTGAGCCATTAAAAAAAAGTAGTAATGTATCATTCACCTTTATTTGTATAAATGCAAGTTGTGCATTTTGAATTGCTTTGTAAAAAGAAGTCTGTTAATCGGTTATATTACTTGCAGTAATGCAAGACTAGTATTGTTTTGTAATTTGTTCATTAGTTTAAGTTATATATTTATAAATTGGTCTATTTGCCTGTTCATTAATGAAATTAAATAAAATCTACGGCTCTTCTCTAAAACCTCAAGTGAACTCACCTGCCACAGCAACCGTACACACAGGTCCCTGAAGAGCAACAGTTGCTAAACCATCAGATGTCACCACCGACTGATCCTCTGAAGTGCCAACTAGAATCTGCTGATTTCCTCCTCCAGAGAGTAACAAGGAAGTAACAAAATCTAAATGATTTGCATCTGACGCTGAAAAAAAACAACAACCACGTGTTAAAACAAAATATAAATATTTACATAATAGTGTGTTGTCATAACATTGGTAATAAACTTAAATTCTTAATGACAGTTCTGATAATTTACATTATATTGATGGCTTAAGGTACATATGACAAATCCCTTGATTTCAAGAAAACCAAGCTTTAAAGTTTGTACTGGTTCAGTTACTTATTAACAATATTTGCTTTCAAAGAAAAAGCATGTTCCATCTCGTATACGTATACAATTTTTTTTTCACTAACTAGAAGTGAACGAGAACATATGTTCTTCAAAATTGACCATGAGTGGACATTCAATGTTCGTGCACTAAGCCATCAGTACACACTTAGGGAAGTATTTCTTTGGTACTGAATGCTAGGGAGCACATGGTGTGGTACTGCCAAATACAAGCTCAGGCTGTAAGGCTGACTGAATGAGGTTTCTGTACAACCTCATACCTTCATCGAAAATCTTGATTATCATCTACTGACTTTGAAATGCAACAGTTTCACTCGAATCTAAAACTCTGAGCACTGCAATTCACTAGTCCGAGAACCATACCGTAAAAAAGTGAAATTTCTAAGCATTTGTCAACAAAGGGACACTAAGATATTTGCAATTACATCACATATCAAAAAGTCTAATTTCAGAGGTGAAACCAGGTTTCTTTGGAGGAGAGCCAGAGGTTTAATCAACTTGTTTCTTAATAAAGAAATTTTCAAGCATGCTGAATTTAAAATTTGCTTTTGTTTGTTAATTAGAATTGTTAGTTAGAATAGTTATTTCTAATGTAGTCAACTGACACATTGGATTATTTTTCTTTCAATAGAAAATTTATACAAACTGTAAATGTGTGTCATTCATCCACGTTCACTACGGCAGATGTTCGTATGAAGAATCTGTCAACCCTGTCCAAAACATGCATTTCCGTTGAAATTTTGAAATCAATTTTCCGCAGCATTGTGTAACTTTTCCTTTACCATGTATGTTACTTTGTATATACGCACATATAGGCGAAAGTAAAAAAAGAAAGGGAAGGTGATCCTTTTCTAATGATTTTAATACACGATTAAACTAGGATTCACAACTTTGTACCAGAGTGCAAAAGACAAAGCACAGAATAGAAGCACAACAGTTCACCTTGAAAAAGAAATTCAGAACACTGGCATTAGCTGAAAATGTCATATTGACCATCATCTTCTAAGCCCATGGAGTTGTCTTTTGTGATTGTTTGGAAGGGCAGTGTACAATAAACAGAGCCTACTACTCAGACAAAGAACAAAATAAAGCAAAGAATGAGAGAAAAATGTTGCATCTCTCAAAGAAAAGACATGATATTGCAACCTTATAATACTCGCCCTCACACATCCACGATAACCCAAGCAACCATTGCACAAATGGTTTGGGAGATGCTACCCACAACCCAAATTTAACTTCCTCTGAATTTTATTTAGATGGCACTCAAGGAGGCATTGCGGATGAGAGTTCAGCAACAACAAGGAAGTCAAAGAATTGAAGGAACTGGTTCAAACAAGACAGACCTTCTTTGCATCAGACAAAAAAATATAGTAAATCGTAGGGACAAGTGTAATATTCATGAGTAGTGTTCATTGAAAAGCAGTAAAAGTATTATTTTGTAAAAATACAGTTCTTTTTCTACATCAATTTGTGTCTATTTATTGAATGTACCTTGTAGATGACATGTAAGTGAGAACAATTATGTCATCCTAGAAGAGCTTAAGGAATCTGTTTTTGGTTCAGTGTTCACATTTTTTTCGTTTTTTTGGAATGCAAAGGTCTGTCAACCTTTCACTGCAATCTGATAGGAACAGTGACAAACCCACAGGGAGCAAAGTTAGTGAAATGTGTCCTGGCTTTGTGTAATATTTGCGTGAAACCCAGTATGACTTTGTGTAATGTTTGCCACCATATTCGGAAAACATCTGACCTTTTTGTATGAAATGTGTGAGAACAAAGTAATTTGGGTGCTAATAGGGCAGTTGTCACATATATTCTTTAGATGAAGAAAAAAAATCAAAGTCTATGATCAGAATCTTTTAAAATGAGAACTTTCTTCTTGGGAATGTTATGCATTTAGAATATTACTTGCAAATATATTATATACTATATTTAGCCAAATATAAGTCGACCCTGAATATAAGAAATATAAGAAGCCCCCCTAATTTTGAAGCGAGCTCTTGAGAAGGTTTTACTTTTAATTAATTCTTACTATTTAATCAAAATAAAATTACAAAATGTCTTAAAGAGTAAAAAATTGCCTCGTTGTTCAGACTTTTAAGACTCATTGCTGAATTATCATTTTCTTGTTCCTTAAAATCGCAATGTTTTTTGTCACTGCCCTCACAATGTTTCTTTCTTTTTGGTCCTCCTTTCATGCTGACTTTTTAGGCCCCTCTGAAAGTTTCGCAGATTAAATTTGTGTTATTTCAGGTCTTTTACCAGATGCCATCTAAGAACATTCCTTTCTGGGTTACCAGATATTTTTATGGCCCTGCACTGGTTAATGGCCTCTGTTCAACTGTTCAAAACACAGATTCACATTTGCCAGACGTCAAACCGAGATTCTGGGCAGCCTCGACAATTTCAAATCATGTCACAAAATCTTGGCATTCTTTGACCCATTTCATTTGATGCAATGCAGTTCATTATGAAATTCTCTCTTTACCGGCTAATTCAAAAATATCAGTCTAAATTGCCCGGCAAATTCACGGAGAATGCAGAGAATACAAACATGAATATAATTACATATTTTAGATACTCACAATATTTTTCACGTCTTCGCAGTTTACTGTTACGTCAACATTTATGACTTTTGTGACATGGAATAGCAATGAAAAATCTTAAACCTGACTAGGCTTGATCAGTGAAAATAAGATGACCCCGCATTTTTCGACTAATATATTTCGTAAAACAAAATTTGTCATATTCAGGTAAATACAGTATATATATAATTTTCTCACACAACAGTATTGGCAAAATATTAATGTTATTGATGGATAAAAACATCTTTTGAAGAGCTTTCTGCTAGAGGGCAAAAATAATTGATCAGATGAACAACGGTGGCACATTAGTTGGAAATGTAAGGCTTTCTAAACATTGAGAACTGTTCATTGACAAGAAGGGAGATTACATTTTTGGACTGTAGAGAGATTGCCAAAAAATAAACATGAAAGTAAATAAAAAGATTCTGTGCATTTTGATTAAACAATCTCCTCAGTGTAACTGCCTATTAAAACAATGTAATAAATTACTTTCATGACAGTTAAAAAAGCAAGCCACGATTGTCAGCTCACCCAACACAGGAGTATGATGCTTCAACAGATGTTGCCGCAAGCTCGCCTTACAGCTGTAACTCTTTGGACAAGATTCCACAGGGCAGGGAAAACCTGTACTCCCCCCTGGGAGAAGGACCTGCGCAGGCTCACCGTTCTCCACTTGTTCCCACTTCGAAACCAAAAGGTCAGAGGCCTTTTGTTTTGACTTCTGGGGTGGGCACTGTGAAGCGTTGCTGGACGGCGGTTGCAACGCAGGCTGGCCCTCGGACCCAATTCCAGCATCCTTCATCTGTTGCTTATGTTTCTTAAGATGCACATACAGGCTGCTCTTGGCTGTGAACTTCACCCCACAATCTGAAAAAGAAACCTACAGTTGAACCGATCTGATTGCAAAGGTACTACTGCAATGGCGAGCTCAATTTTGAAAATGCCCCAGGGACTTCATGTAAAGTACCTCCCAAAATTAAAATATCAGTTTCAAATTCAAGGGGCCGTGACACTAGTCAGATCGATTGTGAAATATCAATTTTGGAGAAAATCGGCTGAACAGTTTAGCCGCTTGCATTGTTCACAGACAGACACACTCAGATGTTTTGCCGTGAATTGATTTTTTGGTATCAAGGACCCACAAAACATGGATGCTCTCTATATAACGTGTTAGAGGAAGTAATTTAAAGCATATAAGGGTAACATTTATTCACGCTTTCGTTTTGTAACGGGCAATAAATAAAGAGCTTTTCTTCCGAAAATTTGCCACATTACAATAATTTCTCTTTACTGCTTGAGCAGGAGAGAGAAAGTACAAAAGTAAGGATAATAATGTTTAAATCAGTTAAGAGACCCAATGATCTCATGCCTGGATCACACAGGAGATTGAAAAGAATCAACGATTCTTATCAACTGAAAATCAGTAAAATCCAGCAGGCAGAAGAGCAGAACTAAACCTGCTTACAAACAAAATCTCCAAATCATTTACCCTCCTTTCTTGCTTTCCTCTGTGAAGTAAAAACGGAAAAAGTTTATTATCAGTACTAACAAATGTGACATTGCTTATTAATGGAAAATATGAAGCAAAAATCTGAATTTTTGATGTTTTGGGGATTTTAACATTGCATAAAATAATAGAAATAATGTTGTAAAAATTTTGACTTTTACTTAAAATCTTCTATAAATTACAAAAACTATTCAAAAGATGTAAATACGGTACCAGTTATTTAAAACACTTCCATCAGAGTGCCCCTACAATTTCACAGCACTAGTGTATATGCCATATATACTTACATATAACCCGCATATTATTTCAAAAATTGCTAGCTGAAAATTGGATTGAGGGTAATATTCACATCAAGGTTGGTATGAACTTGAAGCTTGTGGCTCGTGGTCACATGGCGGCATGGGTTATACATTAGGTTTTATAACGTGGTGCATCAGAGGCTGTCTTGACGATAGAATATCTCACGATTTAGTGCCTTTCTCAACCATGCTGCTAATGCCCTCTTGAGCGCGAACGTAAACGCATCACTTTATGCTGTCGCAACTTCTAGCGGTGCAACTGAGAAAGAAGTGAAATGCCTAACATAATGAGGCACAGCTTTATAAAAATGGCACTAAAACCAGTGTTAATTGGCATGCTATTTAATAAAAAAAATTTAAAATAAAAATAAAAATGGGGAAAAAAAAAAGAAAGTTTTATTTGGGATTCCTTACCAAACAATTAGTGTGTGTAACATTCGAGGGTGGGGTATATTCCTGTATATACTGTAATTTCTGAGATATTGGGTCAAATGCATGGGCGAATAAACAAGAGAGAGAGGGCTTCAGGGCTTCATGACTCCCCTTAACCCTTCAGGCATGACATACAGTCATACAGTCAGCTGCTGCATTACGACTTTTGAATTTGTTTAAGTTACAATTCTGTTTTATGCCTGAGGGGTAAAATACATGCCTCAGGGGTTAAAGTACTTCCATTTTAGAGCAGGTTTTTATTACATCAAATCAAGAAAATCACTTACTTTCCACGGTACACTGGTAGCAACGTTCTCCAATGTGAGTTTGTGTATGTTCTTTCAAATGTTCAGACCTCATGAATGACTTCCCACATCCCTCAACTGAACATCGGAATTTGCGTTCATTTGTGTGCTTCTGTTGATGTCGCTTTAGTTTACTTGCACTAGAGAATGCCCAGCCGCAATTCTGGAAACAGAAAGAACTAACATAATCACAATAGTAAGAACAAGCACTTTTTCAGACAACACAAAAGCGAGCAAAAAGGAAAATGTTCAATGATAAAGGAATGAATAAAAAGAAATGGCCCAATATATAACTTTCAAAAACATTTACCTGCTAATGTTACACAACAGGCAAAGAGCAGTCATGCCATCACAACAAATGCTATTTTATGATAGCAGTGTATCACACACATTCTTATTTTAATTTGAAGGTCTTTTCATGTATTTTTTTCATTCAATCTAGTTTGCTTAGAGTATTTCTACCTATTTAATTGTTATTGTATGTTTATAAAAAGCCAGTATTTCCAATCATGATGTCACTACATCACGTAAAAGATTTACTAACTTCCTGAAGATGATTTGAATCTATAATCCAACAATAATTTGATTTTCAATTTAATGTTCTTATTCTATTTTACGCACAATTCAACACACAAACAATTATTTCTTAATTTCTTAAAAAAAATATTAAATAAGCTCAGAGAGTAATAATGGTTTCTTTGCAGGCCATTAAAATTATGTCAGGCTGATTACTGACCACTGCTCTAGATGCCACTTGACTGCACACTCCATATTTCATAGTACCCTTGTAGAAAACACCTGATGATAGTAAAAATTAATAAAGAAATAAAACACATGCACATGCATTTTGCACACAAGAAATCCATTAACTTGCTCCTGATATGATAGAAAATGTGCAACACTTAAGAGTGATTTGTCTGCCTCCCTATGTGAAAAGAATGAAAGCTGATAATTACTTTGAAAACTTCATTTGGGCATGTGTCAAATTACCCGAATATAAGACAAGGTCTACTTCTAAATATCTCCGTCGCAAAACATGGGGTCGCAGACTAAGCCTAGTCAGTTACGGTTTAATTTTTTTTAAACTGCCATTCCATGCCATGAAAGTCGAAAATGTTGATGTAACAATAAACTGTGAAGGCAGTAAAAATATTGCGCATATCTACAATACATAATTGAATCAGTGAGTGGAACTACTGTATACCCAAAATTGATATTTTTTAATGGAGAACTCACTTTTAAACATGGTCCTTCCTTAATAAATGAAGAGCAACACAACTATCACAGTGTGTTGACATTTTTTTGAAGCAACCTAAAATTCTATTGAGTGGAAGAACGATATGACTCCTTTTTCAACCCAATACCTTATGAGTATATCTCCTTCTTGCCACTTGAGTTCGTCATACTCTTGTCTAATCGACTCTATAGAATTTGAATGTTGGAGGGAGTTATCACTGTTGTTTGTGAAGTTGAAAGAATCAATCATAGTTACTTATTTAATAATTAAATATCTACATGATGTTCATGTTTGTGGACATTCTTTCTACCATGCAACACAATCTTCAGAAACGTCAAATGAAACATAAGAAGACGTGACTGAATTTATCTACCAGAAGATTATTTATCTTTTATTTAATAAAATTAACAGGTGATACCTTTACTTAGTACAAATACACATTCAAAAGGAATTAACAGAGAAAAGCATTTGAAGATACACAAAGATCAAAATTATGAGCATATGATTGTAAATTAAAACTATTTACTGTATCTAATGAAATACTTAGATAGAACATACTTCAAGAGCTGGTGGCCAAATTATTATAAAAGAATCTTTTAAATCAACTGTTCAAGGAAATAATGAACCCTTCTTATTTTCAAACTATAATCAGTTAATTTCTGAAAGTTCAACACCATGTTTCTTTTCAGTTAGTAATTTTATCGGAGGACTAGTTACAGACACTTTTAAACAGCATAAGCCTCATGTCACTCCAATTTTTACCAGCTTACAAGAAACCATTAGCAATAAATGAGAAGATCAATGATGTAAAAAAGTCTTCAAATATATGAGTGGCGAAATCTTGGAGTTTTATCATCACATACTACATCTTGGGAGACAAGCAATGAAGATCAGCAGGAATCGTAATGAAATCATTACAGTTCTAAGCTACCATATTGTGTAAAATTTTATTAATAAAGGCATTGTTATTAAAATTAGTTACTTTTTTATGTTGAACAAATATCAAGTGGAAAAACAGAATAACTCCAAGATCTACTTTTGGCTTATAGCTTCTTAGGATGCACATAATGAAACTTACTCGGCAAGTTCTTGTAAAGGGAGTCATTCCTTACAACTTCCCTGGGCATTTGATTGATGTAAAATGTACAATGTTTTACTCAAAACATGGATTTTGGAGTTGTACTGTTTTTCCACTCATCAATTCAATTATTTTTGCAGTCGTATTCCTGTGCAATCCAGATGAATATTTTTTAATACACCAGTAACCAGAGAACCTGAATGAAATGGCTTTGGATCAGAGGTAATGTGAAAATCAATGCAGAGATTTTGTTACATGCACTAGGTTCAATGGTGCAGTACGGAATCTCAGTTCGACACCAGTCGAGTGTGAATCTGCATTTTGAACTTAAAGAAACAGAGGCCATCAACAACAGTAGAACACAGAAAATCTTGTGACACAGAAGGGAATGTTCTTAGGCAGCGTCTGATAAAAGAGCAATGCAAATTCACTGTGTGAAACTTTCAGAAGGGCCTATAGTTAGAAGATGTCGCAGCATGGAAAGAAAACCAAAAAGAAACACGGATACACATGTAGATGATGAAGGGAGTGACAAATATGATTATTGTAAGGGACAAGAAAATGATAGTTCAGCAAGAAGTCTAAATATTCTCATCAACAAGTTAATTTTCTAGTCAATAAGACAATTTGCAATTTTATTTTGACTAAATAGTAAGAATTGATTAAAATTTTTAAATTCTCAGGAGGAATCTTATATTTAGAGTTGATTTATTTTCTGGTAAATTCAGTAATTATGTATTTGCATAATTACAATAATACAGGCTCCTTCAGAGGAGGTAGTATTCCCCATGTGTCAAACTTACATACGGTGAAATTTTCAAAAAATATTTTTTCATCACTTTCTATATTTTGAAGTTTTCATAAATTTTTCATATTAACATCACATGAACTAATAAGAAAATTTGACATTATTTCTTTACAAGTCTTCATTTCTACATCTCGTGGAAAGTCAGATCCCCTGGGCTACGCTGTTTGAGAGTCACTAGCCTCAAAGGTTTCAATACCCAAGAGAAGGAAAATATATCCACTAACCTGAAATGTACAGAGGTAGGGTTTGTCCCCAGTATGGATACGCATGTGAGCTTTCAATCTGCATGGTTTATCAAACCACTTTCCACAATCTGGCCATTGGCAGTGCACTTCCTCCTCGCGGTGCTGATGGCTGCGTGCATGACCATTTAGAGTGTTGCTGGAATAATAACGCTTGCCACACCCAGCATAGGTGCATCTGTAACGAACGGTAGCATTGAATTCCAACTCAATGAAGCTAGTGCAAAAGGTAATATGTTTACACTAGGATTGCGACAATGCCAACAAAACGCATGTTTCTGAACATCAATGTTCAACATTAAAACACCACCTTAATACCATCAATGATTTTCAACATTAATACCTTTAAAATTGCATTAGTAACCATTAATATTCACGGGGGAGTAATTTGACAGTGGTTGTATTTATGACATTCAATTCTAATGTAACTTAAAAAATAAAATCAAGGAACGATCAGGACAACTAACGAAACTTGTATTATCTGATTGGATAATTTACAAATAATACCTATGACTTCATTTATTGACAAAACCTCTATTTAAATTACTTTTCACTTTGGTCACTTTGGTTCAAAGAATGTCCAATTTATATATATCTTAAAACTATTGCAAGTTTTCATTATGAAAGTACTTTTTTCATTCAAAAATAAAATATCAACTATGTAAAAAACATGAGATGATTTGTACATACATCTGTCTTTGAAAAATTACATCTCATCCCTAGTTACACCCTCCCCTACCATGTTATTTAATGAACAACTCCATCAAAGCAAAAAAAAAAACAAAAAAACCTTAATTTCGTAGATGTAGATAAGCGAGCGAAATCTGGTTTCTTTTGAATTTCCCTCCATTTCATAAAACAGCAAGGATCAATAATTGCTCTTCTTCGGACTCCTGATTTTCTCAAACACTGATCCCCCACCAACGAAGCCAAAGTCAAGACACTTCAAATTTAAAATTCATACTTAGATTTTGGGAGGTATTTTTACATTAAGCCTCAATGATTCATCATGCCATAATGGAATCAAGTCCATTTTGCACGATGACAAAGTAATGTTTATTTCATCTTCAGCTTTGAAAATAGAGTCTTTCTTCTTAATCAAAATTTTGTTTATCATAAAGAGCCTGGTCCCTTTCTTTCATTTAACAGAGTTTCTACTCTATAATATTATGTAACAGTTACAAATAATGCATAAGAGTAAATGCTACTGTAGCCTAACTAGTTCCACTAAAGGGTAAACAGACTAAAAAATATCCCGAATAAATTTATAACCCTATTTGAACATTTAAAAAGCATATTATTCTAACACATAGATAAAAAAAGATAAGTTAGGAATACCCTTGATTAATTTGTTTACTAATTTCACTGCTCAATATTTTAGTTGGATGTTAGTCGATTTCAAAAAAATTGGTCAATAGTTTCATTAATCACTGAAATTATGATAAAGGCATGTGTTTCTTTTCGAGGACGCATTGTTCATCAATAGTACGACGTGATACCTTGTTTAATACAATTGCTCAGGGAACCTATGCACCTAAGACTGAATTCCACCTCAGGCAACTATTTTTGCGAGTTAGAAACCACTTTTGAGTGTCCAACATTATTATAATATTAAGTAACAGTTACAAATAACACAAGAGAAAATGTGCTGTCGCAGCATCAGTTTTAGGTGAAAATGACTCACTCCATACTTTTAGAGCACTCTTTATACACACGATTAAAAATACATAATAAACAATAACAAAACACTTACTGATATGGTGCATAGGAGATTCCATGTTTCTTTATATGCATCTCCACAGCGCGCTTTGTTTGGAAATGAGCATCACACCCAACAACAGGACACTGCAGCTTTGCAGGTCTTTCATGGAGTTTACGATGAGCTTTCAAATTGTAAATTGTGGTGAATCGATGACCACAGCTAGGAACAGGACACTGAAAGAAAGAAAATTAATTTTTGGTTTAAAATTGATAATAAAGATATTACACTTAGCACAGTTCATAGACAACTTCTTTGGGGACAAAATACATATTTTTAATACTTCACGTTTAATACAAAACAACTTACCTCAAATGCTTTTCTTTTCAGATGGGTTTCTTTATGACGCTTCAATTTGAAAAATGTATAAAACGTCCAATGGCAACCCGGCACATCACACTATAAATAATTAAAATGTACACTCAGTTTACAAAACACATTGAAATGAAATGAAAAATACAAATGGAGAGAGATTATCTTTGATTATTTATTAATCACCCCATTTAATTCAAACATAAAATGATAATAAATTTAATAAAGATACATTGAATTCCTTATATTTCAAAACCTTTTCTGAAAATTGAAATACGTACATCATCTACGAACAACTACAATAAATATCCAAAACACACTGTCCTGCCAATGCATGTCATATCAAAAAAACTCAATTTCAGCCACTCCTTAATCTGGACTCTTCTCTACATTTGATACATAAAATTGCTCAACAAGGTTGTAGGAAGAAAATACAAGTGGTGCTACAGATTGGCGAAGACTTTCTCACACTAGTTAGTTTTCTAACCTCATTAGTCAAGGTTCGCTTTTCAGTACTGCCTGACCATCTTCCCTGATGCTTCCGTATCAGTGCCAAAATTACCCTAATAGTAGAATCTTGACAGAATTTTTAAACCTTTAAGAATATTATAAAGCAAATTTTCATTGAATAATTTGGGAGCCTTTCTTGAGAAAATGTAATTTGGATGTTTGTTACAATGCGCAATTTTGATCATTTTTACTAAAAAGTTGTATGTTTACAAGAAGTCTTCATAAAAAATTATTTGAAGCACTTGTATTCACAAATGCAATAATGTATAGAAAATGCAAGGTAAGGTAAATATTAACGACAAGAGAGTTGTTGTGTAATAACAAGCCATTGGATGTTTAGGAAAATGCCTATTTTATTCTAATGAAAATATTTAAAGGCAATTAATATATGTATATGAATTATGGAAAACTAAACATTCTGATGAATTTTGATTTCGCCTCTTTTACCTTTTATTGCTCATATCTGATGTAAATGCTTATTTACACATATTTTTCTTTTTAATGTTTTTTTCTTAAAATTTTTATATCTCTAAATATATCTACTAGTAATGAATCTCCATAGTTGTCTTGACTGAAGCTGCCATTTGAGTTTGCAGGTCACTGAATTTTTGGAACCGAAAAGCTTGCATTGTGGCTTCAGATTTCTTTTTTCGTATTTCTTTGCAGAAATATAATAAAAACAGTGGTCTCAAGGGTACTTGGTTGAGTGGTGGGTGCTGAGCACCAATTCCCTTTGTAAGCAAACACTCGTCTCTCAGACGTCAAGGCGATAATCTGCACATCCGACATTGTTATCTTTCCGTGTCGGATGTTTTTCTGGGAACAGCGCAGTGTACGCCCATCTCTGCCAGGTGTGGGGTGCGTCTTCATTCTGCCCACAGTTGTCTGAGTTGTGCACCATGCGAAGGACTTCATCAATGCCTCCTAAATGTAGTGATTGAGCTCAATCCTGTAAAGATGCCAAAGTCTATCACTCACTAATGATTCATTAATAGTCTATTCTCTCAAGTTATATCGCTTTTTTGAGAATGGCTAATTTCAGATGTAAAAATTCAGTGAAATATATTCATGTTTTCTTCTCTCCAATTTTAAGTTTTTAATGCCTTTCTTGGTGCCTATTCCAAAAAATTTTTAGTGCTCTTTTAGGTGCCTACGACGTAAGTTATTAGTGCTTCAACATCCGATGTCTAGTAATAACACTCGGAGGAAGAAAAGATTCGATAAGCTGTGCATCCCCACCAATTCAGAGGTATCCATCTTTCAGGATCTCAAGGAGCACAACTCAAACCTTTCATATTTAACCTTGGATTACCCGGGCGATCCACAACTGAGCTTCTTTTATTATTCATCATGGCACTGCCTGGCAACTCTGAAACAGGGGGCAGGTATGGAACCATGTGCGATATCAGGCCTTTCACGCACAACACAGTGAAACAATTTGGATGATTTTGGATTTCTGAATTTACTGAAAAAAATCCTTTCTACGTTTAAACCATTTTTACATTGAATGAGGTGTTGAACTTGCCCTACATGGATGAAAAGGACTTTCACATTTGTCTAACTACCTTTCGAGGGCCACAATAAATGCCTGCCAGTTGGACAACCTTGCACTAGTTTCTCTAAAGCAAATCCCAATTTTCTTGCCCCCTTAACTTTCAGAGGCCTGGACAAAAGCACAGTGAGCCCCTTGCCTAGCAACGGCACCGATTTTATTGCCTCCTTGGTCCATCATCCTCAAAACTCTGAACATCGTTTAAACTTAGAAGCAGAACTCACTTACCCGGTACGGCCGAACCCCATAGTGGGTTAAGATATGCACTTTCAACAGACTGAGTCGAGGATATAGCTTGTTGCAATCTGGAATAGGACACGCCCACAATTTAAAACCATTGGGCCCTCCGGTTGTCACACAAGTAAAGGCATTAGTATCTATTCCTAATGCTGCCAGGGCTTCCATGATTGGTTGTTCATCTGCAAAAACAAAATCAAACTTAGATCCTTAACACAGAGTAGAAATTTTAAAATAGTGGGCCTTTGCTTTTGTATTTCCAAAACAAATTTCTCATACTTTGATTGGTCTTTCATTACATTTTTTCCTAATTTCCCTGACGAATTTTACAGACTTTCACTTCACTTAAACAAAATTATAAATAAAATTAAGACCTTATTAAGATAATATTAAGACTCGGTACTACTAATTTGTTGGCTCTAATTTCACTTTCAAATTATGAAATTAAAAATATTTGCTTAAATCTAAATAATACATGAAAAATAATATACCAATTAAAGATTAATTCCTGGTTACATAATTGCCTAAAAAATATCCTTGACATTAAATAATCTTCTAAAAATTCTCTTCAACCCCCCTGACCTTTTCAGATTATGATACTTCCTGGCCCATTTGTCCTTCACCTATCCCCAAACCGTCCCCCATCTGCCACTATATGTAATCTACTCATCCCCCAAACATTGTGATCTGCCAGAACTCACATGTACTCAAAACTTTTTCCCCCAAAGAGACATGTAAACCTGGTTGGAAAAGACTAGAATGCATTGTTTCTGAGTTATAGACAATTATAATGTGTGTATGTACTGCAAACTCCTATTTTTCTTCTGAAATCTGTTCAATATAGGACTCAAGTGTAATTCTTTACTCACCAGTACCATGCTTACAAGGGTTTGTGTGGATTGTTTCTTGTGAACTGCCAAATATTATCGTTTCTTTAGTGTATGATATAGTACATTAAAGATTATAAAGCTTTACTAGTATGATAATTTGTAACTTAATCGCAAGGTCAAAAAATTACTGGTGTTACAATAATGTATACAAATCTACAATACACAAAAAAATAAATGCACAGAACTGCCGCAGACATTTTCAAAATGTATTTATAGTTGTGAGTGATTTAAAGGCAGGAAAAGGGTAAAAATATTTTCTATTTTTTTAATTACAGCCCAGCAATTTAATAAAATCTGAAAGAAAAAAAACAAACAAAAACAACAACAACAACAAACAAACAACTCCTGACTTCAGTGTGTTGAGACTTTTTTGTACCGGTTTCAGGGTTCTAAAATACAGTTATTTTTTTCCCCTCCCATAAAAATTTTCTTTTTTTAAATTTTGCCCAAGAAAATGTGTTAAAAAATGTATTTCTGATAGAGTAAATGTTTCTTATTTTTTGTATTTTTTCCCAATCAGATAATGTTAAGTTGACGAAAAAATAAAAATTAAAATAATGCACTTTTGGCTGTAAAAGGATGGGTTAAGAAACCTTTCAAAAATCTTACTTTGATGTTAGTCACAGTAGTCATACTTATAAGTCATTTGGTTTTAGGGAACCTTATCCGGGGTTCCCTTCGGCCCAGATATTATCTGACATTCCAAAAATTCATTATTTAAAGTTCAATCTAATTTTGACACTTGCAACAGCAGTGATTGCTACTATGAATCACACCCTCACTCAAGAGCTTGGCTAATACAGTAAAACTAAAGGCGAAAACCTGCCTTCACCCGAGAAATCTCAAAATGGACCATTTTCCCATGCAAAGTACACCGGATGAGTTACTGCCTGATGCAGAAACAGTTGGGAATTTTTAGAACAGTGGTATTAAAAATTCTGCATAAGGCCGGAAAAAAAAAGAATTGTTTTAAAATTACACATTGGCTTGTATGTGTGACGACATCTTACCAAGAGACATGTAGAGCTCTCCTGGTCCATTCTCAGCTACCCTTGTTCAAACGTCATGTTTCCCTCACTGTTTATTTGTAATAGCACTATCCTTTACAAGTCCCTGTGAAGGAAGGAAAGACATGAAGGGCGACCCTTCTACAGTTTTTGTAATGCATGCTTTGTGTTCAGTGCCCTAATGTTTATTGTTGTTCAGTTCAACGAGTTGTTAGTATTGTGTTAATCAAGTGAGCAAATTGAGTGAAAAAATTAGACTATTTGAAGAACATGACAAACTCAATACTTGTCAAGGTATTGATAAAGAAATTTAAAGTTGGGAATACTCAAGTGTATGACATCTTTAAAACAGAAAATATCAAGATTGAGTGGTTAAAATAATTTTTTTTATAGGTAATATTAATATTCACAAGAACCTAGGCGAAAAGCTGAAGCCTAAATCATCAGATGACTTCATCTGTTTCTCCAAATACTGAAGAAAATAACAATTCTTTTATTTTTCATGGAATTCTTTGTTTCATTAGATTTAACGATCCATTTCTATGTCTCTTCCGGGACAGTAGTTTTTATAGTTTTTAGGTGAGATAAACTACTTATAAGACCTATTCCATCTTAGAACAATTGCATATTTGAATTGACAAACCTGAATAAGCTGGAATAAAATGTTGAACACAAATGATTCCAGCTTGGACAGAGTTTACTGTATTAGTTAATAACATTTTTTATTTGCATCATCTTAAATTAATAGTTTTCATCCAAACATTCTTCAGTTGGCAATTCAAAGTAGTGAGTACCTAAGCCCCAGTTATGAGTATGCCAAAAATTCATCAAAAGAATTAAATTTCTGTGTTACTAATCAAGCCCCTCCCACATCATATGATATGGCAGAAATTAATGTATGAGTGCCAAAATAATCATTTGCATAACTGAACAGAGTATATAACCAATGTTTTTATTCTCTCATTAATGAATAAATTTCATTGTATGTAAATGTTATAAGGTTCCAAAAAAATGTGTAAGGTTCAATTTATGCATGTTCATATCAATGACACTTAAAACTGAAAAATATATTGTTCCTATGAGTACACTTAAGCAAGAACTCCCTCATGTTAAGCCCCAGCCTCTTCCTTTATCTTTCCATTTCCATAATAAGTAAGAAAGTTGTTAAAAAAACATTTTTACTTGTTTTAAAAAATGTATAAAAGTAACTTCCAATGTAGTTATGGAATATATAAAAAACAAAAAAACAATGCAAGTGATATTTGAAACAAACTTTTTTGCAATCGAGAAAGACATTTGAAGATGTCCGTGTGAAAATACAGGATTAGGGAAGTAAACTCTACTCTTTGCAATGTTTGAAATTGCAATGCAATGCAATGAAAATGTAAATTTTCGTGAAGTCAAGAATTCTCATAAGTCATTATCCCTTATTTTTAAGTCATTTTATAGGTCATCAGAATCCATGCCCTACTTCTGTATACAGATTGGTTGAATGCGAGAGCAGCAAAAATCATCTATACTGTTTTTCGAATAATATTTCTATCTACTTGACAGTTAGTAGCTGACAGGGGAGAGGGTGTTCTGTTATCCAATCAGATGTCACTGCAGAGATGCCAAATGTTATTTTAAAAAAATCAAATCTCACAGCTCAAAGCTATTGAAAATTGAAGAGTGAAGTTTTTCTTTTAAAATGCATTTGCTGTACTTACTTTTCGTCTGTTTTGGGTGTGTTGTACTAAAATGTTTCTTTATTCCTTTCAATGGCGGAATCTGAGTAAGGATCACGGTAGAGTATTTTATGAAATAAACAAGTGTCATTATTATGATTCATTATTCTACTATTAATTCAAAGAGTAGGATATGTATATCTAATCCTGTCCTCGTGCAAGAATGACACCATGTCCATGTCATCTTCCATCTGAGTAGGCGGTCAAGTTGACACTGCTCTACCCCACCCTCAGCTGTCAAGTTGACAGAAATATTATTCAGACAATACTGAAATAATATAGGCTACTTACCTGCAGCCCTATTTCTTTCATATCTCAACCATTCTTCATTCTCAGTTGGTGATGCTGAAGAGTCTTCTTTAGTCGACTCCACATTGGGCAAGTTCAGGCTCTGGCCAATTTTTGCCTTCACAGACTGGCTAATCATGAGTTTGGACGTTGCCTTAATGAAATCAGTTGTTCTTCCTTTGAACTTCTGCTCTCCCTGAGAAGTATTAATTACTATTTCTGTGGTGTTTTTGGACTTGTCCGTTGAGATAGCAATAATGGTCATTGCTGGAGCTTTCTTCGTGCCACTTTGGTTACCATTATTTTCCTGTTCACTGCGCACAGGTGTACGAGTAGGAATACTGTTATTATTTGACTTAGGAAGATTTTCCAGCAAAGATGTCTGACCTGAATTGGCTTTTGATGAAGAGACCTTTTGTGATGGTCGAAGTAAACTTCGTGGATGCGATGAAGAGGTGGGTGTGGTAGTTGCAGCTTTATTAGCACTAACATTGTTTATTTTGTTTTCTGTTTTACTGGGTTGTGGAGTTTCCACTTCCACTGACTGATCAGCTTGAATGTCAAGAATGTCTGTTTGAATGTCATTTTCTGAAATTTGAGTTTCAGTTTTAATATTGACAGATGACTCTTCACTAGCTGCTACAGTTTGTGTTGTACAAGTGCCTACATATTGCTCTTCTGAACTGCACGCTTCTACTAATGAAATGGTTTCAGGAAGGGCACCATCTTCAGAAACTATCACATTACCAGGTACACAATCATTATCACTCGCAGAATCTATATGGGGCAATGTATTAACTACATTAATTGCTTCACTATTTTCTACTTGAAATGTTAATAAACTAAACTCTGGAAAATCCACTTCTTTCTCAGACTCATAGTCAGTACTGTGCTGACTTACACTAGATAAAGCTTCCCAACTAACTTTATCTCCATTTAGAACAATTGGATGTGTATTACCATACACATCATCACTTTGGTTCCAGTCACCATCTTTTAACTCTTTTACATCTTTGTCTTGAAATTGAAGAATATAACTATCAGTAATATCTTTATCTTTCACACTCAACAAGTCACATTTTTCACTTAACTTTGGATTATTCACTTTAATCAACATACCTTTTTCACTATCACATTTACTAAAATCATCTAGAAATGAAGTTTGATCAAATTCATTCACAGCTCTTTCATCACAATCACACTCGCCTATACTATGATTGCATTTGTCGCATATATTAACAGGTAAATCAAATCCTAATCCCATATCGCAAATATTTGTCACTATGCACATATCCACATTATCTTTCGCACTTGCAAAATGATATGCTTCCAAATCGTTCACAATACCATCCGCAGTTAATACTGTATCTAAATCCATACTTCCATCACTTTTATGTTTAAACCAGTCATCAACATTCACACCGACAACATCAGAGGTTACCTCTGAAGAAGAGAGAATGAAATTTGCAGAAGAAGCGATTTCCAATACACCAGACGCAATATTCTCGCCATTACTACAGTCCTCTGCGACATCTTGATTACTGTCCGGCAAAATTGACTCCGCTGCAATAAGACCGTATTCTCCATTCTTGAGAAAACCCAGTGAATCGGACAGTTCCTTTTTACACACGTCTTCAATTTGCCCGCTACCATTTCGGGTTTGAGGAAGAATTCCTTTGCTAGACATTTGTTGGCCCCGTGTTGAAGGGGTCTACACTACAAACGCCATGAAAGTTTCACGCACATAAACACACACTCTCGGCTGCTCGATAAATACGTGTATTTCTCGTAAAATTCAAGGAAAGTGAAACGTCGGTTCTTCCGAGAGTTCACTTAAGTGTTCTACACGTACA